TTTTTGAGACAGGGTCTCCCTGTAGCCCCAGCTGTCCTAGAACTTACTATGGCTAGCCTCCAACTCACAGACATCTGCCTACCTCCGCCTCCCAAGTGCTGGGATTAAAGGTGTGCACCACCACGCCCAGCCCAGGGTATCGCTTTAAAAAATTTTTTATTTTATGTGTATGTGTGTATTGCCTGCATGTAGGTAAGTGCACCCTTGTGGTGCAGTGCCCTCAGAGGTCAGAAGAGGCTGTTGGATTCCCTGGAACTGGAGTTACAGACGTTGTTAGCTGCCATGTGGGTGCTGGGATTCGAACCTCGCTCTTCTGCAAGAAGAGCCAGTGTTCTTAACCACTGAGCCATGTCTCCAGCCCCATCACTTTTTTTTTTTAATTAGATGACCATTTATGATACAAACATTCATCACTGTTAAAAACAAACAAAAAAGAAACATATCACTGTAACAACTGAGTGCTCTCTTCTTGTACTCTTGAGTTTTCAGCCATCTTCAGGCAAATCTCAGGAAATCTGTCTTGAGGTAATCTATCCAAAGACACACAGCCAGGACTGGCAGAGCCTGAGTAGAGCACTGGTTTCTAGCAGAATGCAGTGGTTAATTCCTATACTCCCAGCAGTCAAGAGGCTGAGACAGCAGAATCAGCCATTCTTCCTACATGGCAGGACTGTGCTTCAAAAATCTGAAAAGAAGGCCGGGCGTGGTGGCGCATGCCTGTAGTCCCAGCACTCCGGAGGCAGAGGCAGGAGGATCTCTGTGAGTTCAAGGCCACCCTGGTCTATATAGTGAGTTCCAGGCCTGCTGGGGTTACACGGAGACCCTGTCTCAAAAAGACAAAAAAAATGAATAAAATACTTAAAAATTTTTAAAGTTTTTTTTTGGTTTTTTTTTTTTTGTCTTTTTGAAGCAGGGTCTCCCTGTAGCCCCAGCTGTCCTGGAACTCACTATGTAGACCAGGCTGGCCTTGTACTCACAGAGACCCACCTGCCTCTGCCTCCCAAGGCTGGGACTATAGGCATGTGCCACCACACCCAGCTAAAGGTTTTTTTATTATATTTGACATGTATGAGTTTTGTCTGCATGTACATAAGCACACCTATGTCATGAAATACCCATAGCAGCCAGAAGAGGGCATCAGATTCCCTGGAACTGGAGTTACCGGTGGTTGTTAGCTACCATGTGGGTGCTGGGAACTGAACCCAGGTCCTGTGCAAGAACAGCCAGTGCTCGTAACCACTGAGCCCTCTCTCCAGACCCTCTCTGATTTCATAACAGTTTTATTATGTATACCTATTCAGTGTGTCCACGGCTTAAACGTAAGTGTATGGGTGTGTGGGTGTGCCCACACGTGGAAGTCTAAGAACAACTTTTGGGAGTCAGTTATCTCCTTCCACCATGTTGTTCCCAGGGATCAAACTCAGTTCATCCGGTTTGGCTACAAGCTCTTTTACCCACTGAGCCATCTTGCTGACTCACTGGTAAGTCTTACAGATGCTAATTGGCTCTGGAATGATCTCTAGGAAACCAGCAAGAGGAGTTGAGGAAGATTTCATCTATAAGGACCAGGGATGAAGGGGACGTGGCTCAGTGGTAGGGTGAGGCCAAGGCCCTGGGTTCCATTCATAGCCCAGGTAGAAAAAAATGCTTGTTGAGCCATGGAGAGGGCTCAGCAGGTAAAGCACTTGCCTTGCAAGCAGGAGGACTTTTCAGTTCCATGAATCCAGGTAAAACATCCCAGGCAAGTATTTATAAGGTCAGTGCTGGGGAGGCAGAGACTGGTAGATCTCTGGGGCTCATCAGCCAGCCCAGCCTACCTAGTGAGATCTAGGCCAGTGAGAAAGACCCTGTGTTAAAAAACAAGGCAGGGCCGGGCATGGTGGCGCACACCTTTAATCCCAGCACTCGGGAGGCAGAGGCAGGCGGATCTCTGTGAGTTCAAGGCCAGCCTGGTCTACATAGTGAGTTCCAGGACAGCTGGGACTACAGGGAGACCCTGTCTCAAAAAGACCAAAACAAAACAAAACAAAACCCCCCCAAAACCCCCAAAACAAGGTAGGGACTGGAGACCTGGCTCAGGACTGACTGTTCTTGTAAAGGACCCACTTTCCATTCCCAGCACCCACATGGCAGCTAACAACCATCTGCAACTCCAGTTCCAGGCTGTCTTCCAGGCCTTTTCGGGTATTGCATGCACATGGCGCACATAACGCATGCAGTTAAAACCCTCAATCACACAAAATAAAAAATGTTTTTTATAAAGGTGGTAGCTGGGTGTGGGGACAAAAGCCTTTAATCCCAGCACTCAAGAGGCAGAGGCAGGTGGATCTGTGTAAGATTGAGGCCAGCCTTTTTTACATAGCAATTCCAGCTTGGGAGACCCTGTCTCGAAATAAATTATAAATCAAATCAGAACAAGGTGGATAGACAGTATCAGAGAATCTACAGTTCAGGTTGTCCTCTGGCCTCGACACCCACGAACAGGCATGTGCACACCCATCCATGAACACACACATGCAACAGCTGGGACTACAGGGAGACCCTGTCTCAAAAAGACCAAAACAAAACAAAACAAAACAAAACCCCCCCAAAACCCCCAAAACAAGGTAGGGACTGGAGACCTGGCTCAGGACTGACTGTTCTTGTAAAGGACCCACTTTCCATTCCCAGCACCCACATGGCAGCTAACAACCATCTGCAACTCCAGTTCCAGGCTGTCTTCCAGGCCTTTTCGGGTATTGCATGCACATGGTGCACATAACGCATGCAGTTAAAACCCTCAATCACACAAAATAAAAAATGTTTTTTATAAAGGTGGTAGCTGGGTGTGGGGACAAAAGCCTTTAATCCCAGCACTCAAGAGGCAGAGGCAGGTGGATCTGTGTAAGATTGAGGCCAGCCTTTTTTACATAGCAATTCCAGCTTGGGAGACCCTGTCTCGAAATAAATTATAAATCAAATCAGAACAAGGTGGATAGACAGTATCAGAGAATCTACAGTTCAGGTTGTCCTCTGGCCTCGACACCCACGAACAGGCATGTGCACACCCATCCATGAACACACATGCACACACACACACACACACACACACGTGTGGTTTCTGAACATTGATTAAGCATCTGAGTTCTGGGTCAGAGCTCTGCTCCATCTGTCCCTGGATGAGGATCTCCACTACCCCCTCCCATTGGCTACTGCCCACCGCTGCAAGCCAGACACTTCCCCACAGCCAGCCTCATCCACTCACTGTACACAGTGATGTCTGAAGTGCTGAACATCTGGGAGCCACTGAAGAACCCAGAGCAAATTATTTCAGTGTCACCAGTGACGTTCAGTTGGAAAGCTGCCCAGCGTAGGCCCTGGTCCACAGACTCCTTTGACGCAGCTGTCTCTAGGCTGATGAGCTTGGGATCCTGACATCTGGTACTGCAGTTCATCAAGAGTGAGCCTCCCCTGGGAAGTAAGGGATTGTGGGGCTTCAGCCTCAGCAGCTGGAAGTCTTGGCCCTGCACCCCTTCAAGGAGGAAAGAGGAAGTTCAGTGCCCACACTCCAGCCTGCAGGAGACCTCACCTCTTCTGAGATTTGAATGGATCCTGCTGTGTAGTGGATCCAGCCCAGGGAATTTGGGGGCACACACAGATAGAGAAGGGGCAGGGGACAGGTTAGAGGGAGGCAGAAGGCGACTCTCAGCCTGCCTGTATTAGAAGGTAAATCAATCAGGCATGGTGGCAGCCTGATCTTTTGATCCCAGCACTCAGGAGGCAGAGGCAGGTGGATTTCTGTGAGAGAGAGAAAGAAGAGAGAGAGAGAGAGAGAGAGAGAGAGAGAGAGAGAGAATGAGAATGAGATGAGTTTGGAAGCTAAGCAGGAGTTTTCGAGAAGCCTGAGCCTGGCAGAGTAAACTGCAGAGGCAGCTAGGGGAGCTCCTTGTCAGACTTCAATTTCTGCAAGGGTTTTTCGGTGGCCCTAATGACAAGATGTGGGAGGCCCCACTTTCTCCAAACCCTGAACCCCAGCCCTGCCTGGGAGGACCACTCTCACCTAGAGACAGCAGACAGCAGACCGGCAACCAGAGGGGTGTCATCGTGGCTAGATCAAGAGAAGATGCCTTGTGAGATGCAGGGCAGCCAGGGCAGAGGTAAGGGGCAGGAGGCGATGTCTGTGGTTTGCTATTGTGCAAGTCCAGGTCCAGGGGCTGTACCTTGCTATAAGTCTGGGGAGGGTGGGAGATGACTCAAGGACGAAGAGCAAGGGATGGGATCAGATGAGGAACACAAGCATGGGAGGGGTCTCCAACCGGGACAGGGAAGGTCCCAGTGGCATGGCTATGCCCCAAACGTCCCCACAGGAAATACTGATAGGATACTCAGATGCCCTGGCTTTCAGTAGTGAGAAAGTATGGGGCGGGGAGGGAATGAGGTGACACAGCTTCAGGCTCAGCTTAGGTACAGGGTGATTCCTGAGCCTAGAGAGGAAGTTTAGAGGAAGCTCTGCACTGACCTGGGGTCCTCGGGGACATTCTTGTTTTCTTTTGATTTTTTTTGTTTGTTTTACTTTGTTTTGTTTTGAGACAGGGTCTCATTAGTAGCCTCAGCTGGCCTGGAACTTGCCTCCATCTAACAGAAACCCACCTGCCTCTGCCTCTGCCTCTGCCCTCTCCCCTCTGCCCTCTGCCTCTGCCCTCTGCCCTCTGCCCTCTGCCCCTGCCCCTGCCCCTGCCTCTGCCCTCTGCCCCTGCCTCTGCCCTCTGCCTCTGCAAAAAGACTCTGCCTCTGCCTCTGCCTCTGCCCTCTGCCCTCTGCCCTCTGGCCTCTGCCTCTGCCTCTGCCCTCTGCCCCTGCCCCTGCCCTCTGCCTCTGCCTCTGCCCCTGCCCCTGCCCCTGCCTCTGCCCTCTGCCTCTGCCCTCTGCCCTCTGCCCTCTGCCTCTGCCTCTGCCTCTGCCCTCTGCCCTCTGCCTCTGCCCTCTGGCCTCTGGCCTCTGCCTCTGCCCTCTGCCTCTGCCTCTGCCTCTGCCTCTGCCCTCTGCCTCTGCCTCTGCCCTCTGCCCTCTGCCCTCTGCCCCTGCCTCTGCCTCTGCCTCTGCCTCTGCCCTCTGCCTCTGCCTCTGCCTCCCAAATGTGGGATTGAAGCTGTGTGCCACCACAGCCAGCTTGATTTATTTATGTGTATCAATACATATTGCAATGCCTGCAGAGGCCAGAAGAGGGCATTTTATGTCTTGGAACTGGAATTACAGATGGTTGTTAGCTGCCATTTGGATGTTGGGAAACAAACACAGGTACTTCTCAAGAGCAGCCAGTGCTCTGAATCACTGAACCATCTCTCCAGCCTTCCCATAAGTAAATACTTTTTAAAATCTAGTTTAAAGTGGGTGTGGTAGCACCTACAGAGGCAGGAGGATCTCTGTAAGTTCAAGGTCACCCTGGTGTACATATTGAGTTCCAGGCCAGCCAGGGTTCCATAGTTAGACCCTACCCCCCCCACCCCAAAATCAGTCTAGTTTTTAAAAAAATGAGTCTCGTTGGGCACAGGAGATAGCTCAGTGGGTAAAGCACTTGGTATTGAAGTGTGAGGACTGGAGTTCAAATCCCCGGAACCTACACTAAGCTAGCAGCACACATCTGTAATCTTGGTATTCCTATATCGAGATTTGAGGTGGAGGGCTGGAAAATCAGGCATGGTGGTGCATGCCTTTAGTCCACTGACTCAGTGGTTAAGAGCACTGTCTGCTCTTGCAGAGGGCCCAGGTTTGGGTCCCAGCACCCAAATGGCAACTAACAACCATTCATAACTTCAGTTCTGGAGGTTCTGACACCCTCTTTGGCCTCCATGGGCATTGTAGCCATATGGTGCACTAACATACATACAGGCAAAACACTCATACACATAAAAATAAAAGTAAAAAAAAAAATTTGAGCTGGAGACACAAGACTCCTGAAAGTTCATAGGCAAGCTAGCCCCAGGATACACAGAGGTCCTCAAGAGATTCTGTCTCCAACAAGGTAGAAGGTTAGGACTCATACCCAAGGTTGTCCACAGCACATGCCAAAGCTCTCATACACATAGATTAAAAAATAACAAACAGCCAGCAGGTAAAGGGGCTTGCTGCCAAGGCTGAGGACCTGAGTTCAATTCCTGGGACCTATATGGTAACATGGTAGAAGGAAGGAGTCAAGTCCTGGAAGTTGTCCTCTGACCTCCACAAGCACCCTATGGCATTTGCTATTCCTCATAAATAAATAAATAAATAAATAAATAAATAAATAAATAAGTAAATAAATAAATGTACTTGAATAAATTTAAGGTAATAGTAATAGCAAAAAAATTTAAAGTAAAAGCAAGCTGGTCTTCCTGTATTCTTGCTGAAGGGCGACCACACAGAAAATGGAAACTGAGTCAGGCATGTTAACATCCCTCAAGGCCAGTGGGCACAGGAATGCAGCTTAACTCTGCCATCGAGCTGACCTTGGCAGCAAGATCTGCTGGACAAACTTGTTCCAACAGCAAACATGTTGAAATGGAGAGAAAAAGTGGAATTGAGAGGCTGAAATGACCTGGATGAGGGTCAGAGGCAGACCACAGGCCCAGGGTCAGTGAGGGCCTCAGCGTCAAAAATCCTCAAGGGGCTGGAGCGCTGCCTCAGGGGTTAAGAGCACTGGCTGATCTTGCAGAGGACCCAGCACCCACATGGCAGCTCACAACTATCCATAACTCAGTTCCAGGGGATCTGACTCCCTCCTCTGGCCTCCACAGGCATTGCACACATGGTGCACTTACATACATGCAGGAAAATACTCATACATATTAAATACTAATATGTCCTGAAGATGATGGCAGGGCATTTGTGCCACATGCCTTTCATCCTAGCGCTGGGGAGACAGAGGCAGGTGGGTCTCTGTGCCTGCTGTCTCTGTGAGTTCCAGGCCAGTTGGGGCTAACATTTTTGAAACTGTCTCAAAAAAACAAAACAAAACAATAGAAGAGAAAAATAAATGAATAACACATCTCCATTAATGCAATGATGGACTTTTTTGAGACAAATTCTCCCTGTACCCCAAGCTGACCTGGAACTCACTATGTAGACAGTGCTGATCATCATCTCACTGGGACTAAAGGCATGCACCACCATGCCTTTCATGAAGTCTTTAGAAGTCCTTTATGGAGAGAAAATTATTTTATCTGCCTTTCCCAAATGCTCTCCTCTAAAGCCAAAACACTAACAAAACACCAGAATAACAATAAAAATAAATGTTTATTAAGCACTTGCCTATATGTCTTGTAAGCAATTTATACATGTCCTCATCAGCTCTCTCCATTAGTCCTACGAGGTAGAAATCTGACCCTCTCCATGGTTGAGAAGTGAGACTCAGAGTGGTCAAGCCATTTTCCTGAGGTCACACAGGAAGGAAAGGGTGAAACTGGCAGTCCTATGTGGTAAGTGGCCTCCTTAAGTGCTTGGTACCCTTAAGTAGGTTGGGGGGGCGAGCACATATATGCAGGTCCATTTGTGTGCATGCAGAGGTCAAAAGACAACTGCATGGTGTTGTTCTTGAGGCACTGTTCCATTCTGTCCCATCATTTTATTTTGAGTCAGGGTCTATCACTGGCATAAACTTTGCTGAGTAGGGTGCCTGGCTGGTCAGTGATTCCTAGGGATCCACCTGTTCCTACCTCCCCAGTGTGGGGAGTAAAGCCAGTGCCACCAAGCTTTTTTTTAACATGGGTTCTGAGGATGAAACTTGTGACCTGTGTGCAAGGCACTTTTGTAAGGACTTCATCAGTTGTACCATCTCCCTGGTCCACAAGCAGCTATTGAGCACCTTCTTCATACCAGGAACCTATCTTGCCATAGAGTAACTTTTAAGGGCTGCTTGTTTTTTCATGCTGGGGGCCAGGATCTCTCAAATGCTAAGCATGTGTTCTTCCACTGAGTTTGGCTGCTGGTCTAGGGGCAATCAGAAGTATCACTGAAAGTTTCCTTTGAATCCTCATTTTATATGCAGACCCCAGCCCTGCCATCTTATACAGGATGGTAAGGAACTCAAAACCAAGGACTCAAGGCTCCTTGCCCACTCAGGGTTCCCCAAGGTCAAAGTGAAAGAAGGAAAGTTGATAGAGATGAGGTCTCCAGACAGGAGTAAGGTGAAGGGTGTGCACTGGAATGTTCTGTGGGCACATCCCCCAGGGCCACTGCACTTCAGCACACACTGAACACAGAAGGGGCCTGGCCTTGGTACTTCTCCTGGGCTGTCTTCAGGATAGGGATGAGGTTCTGGAAGGTGGGGCGGAATGAGGCCTCTGATTCCCAGCAGTTTTTCATGAGAAGATAGATCTGGATTCAAGGGAGAAAGAAAGGGCTGTGAGGGCCACTCACCCTATAGTACTGAGGAACAGAGGCAGGGGGACAATGGTTGGAGGCCTCACCTCGCAGGGACATCTGTCTGGCCGTGGTAGCCTCTCTCCTCGTTCCAGAAGCTCTGTGAGCCTCAGCACTGTCATCTGGCCCTGGGTGAGGCCGATGAGTTCGATGAATTTCTACAGGACAACTGAAATGAGCTATTTGCAGATAGTGAACTGGAGCGTGAGTGAGTGTGTGTGTGTGTGTGTGTGTGTGTGTGTGTGTGTGTGTGTGTGCGCGCACACGGGGGGAGACCAGAGGAGGATGTCAGGAGTCTTGCTCTAACCCTTTTCATCTTTTTTTTTGTTTTGAGACAAGGTCTTACTATGTAGCACTGGCCTCCATCTCAAAGAGATCCTCCTGCTTCTGCCTCCTGAGTGCTGGAACTAAAGGAGTGCCACTGCACTTCAGCTCCCTCTCCGTCTTATCCCTCTGAGGCAGGGTCTCCCTTGAACCTGAAGTCAGACTAGTGGCCAGTCAGCCCAACACACTGGGGTCCACGCTGCACACCCAGGTGGCCATATCCACACAACTCCGCCCAGCTTGTTGTTCCATTTTCGTGTGTGTGTTGTGCATACATATGCATGTGGAGACCCAGGGTTGATGTCAGAAATGACCTTCCAATGATCTTCCTCCTTATTCAGTGAGGTAGATCTCTCAATGAAATTTCAAGCTCCCGGATATGGCTAGTCTCCCAAGCCAGCTTGCTCTGGGGATACATTTCTGCCCTGAAGCTGGATTTAGAGGCCAGCAGCCATCCAGCATTTACCTGGGTTCTGGGGATCTGAACTCCAGTCTTTGTGCTTGTCCAGCAAGTATATACCCACTGAGCAATCTCCCCAGCCTCCTCTTTCTTTCTTTCCTTTCTTTTTTTGTGTGTGTCTTTTTGAAGCAGGGTCCTCCTGTAAGCCCCAGCTATCCTAGAACTCACTATGTAGACAAGGCTGGCCTTGAACTCACAGTGATCCGCCTGCCTCTGCCTCCCAAGTACTGGGACTACAGGTGTGTACCACCACACCCGGCTTTTTTTTTTAAAGGTTTTTAAAATTAATTTATTTATTTATTTTATATGTATGTGTGTATTGCCTGCATGTAAGCAAGTGCATCCGTGTCATGAAATGCCAGTCAGAAGAGGCTGTCATATCCCCTGGGACTAGAGTTATAGACAGTTGTTAGCTGCCATGTGGGTGCTGGGGTTTGAACCTGGGTCTCTGCAAGAACAACCAGTGTTCTTAACCTCTGAGCCATCTCTTCAGCCCTCCTCTTTCTTTTTTAAAAATATTTTTTAGTCGGGCATGGTAGTGCGTGCCTTTAATCCCAGCACTCGGGAGGCAGAGGCAGCCAGATCTCTGTGAGTTCAAGGCCAGCCGGGTCTACATAGTGAGCTCCAGGGTAGCTGGAGCTACAGAGAGACCATGTTTCAAAAAAAAATCTAAAAAATTTAAAATTAAATTAAATCAATAAATGAGAGGGAAGATCTCTTACTCTTGGCTGAGGGGTCTGGTACAAGCAGGCTAGGGGTCACTGTGGGCAAAGCAAATGGTCTGAGATGTCACCAGAATGAACAGCAGAACTGAGCCAGGGAATAGGGGGTTCCTGATGACCCCTGAGGCCTCACCCACACAAACAGAATATTGGGCTGGAGAGATAGCTCAGTGGGTTCTCAGCAGCTAAGAACACTTGCTGTTCTTCCAGAGGACCTAGATTGGATTCCAAGCACCCATGTGGTGGTGGCTAACAATCATTTATAACTCCAGTTCCAGGGGATCTGACACCTTCTTCTGGCCTCAGTGGGGCACTGCACATACATGGTGCACTTACATACAGGCAAAACACTCATACACATAGAATAAAAATAATACAATAAATAAATTGCAGAATAAACTCTTGGGATCCTGCCCATTTGCATTTTACAGGTTTCAGTTGAAAGCTCCCTGCAAGGCCAAGTGTGATTGTACATGCCTATCTTTCCAGAACAGAAAGACTGTAAGTTCTAGGCCACCCTAGGGTATATAGGGAGACCCTGTGCTAAACAAAATGAAGATGGCTCAGCAGGTAAAGGACTGACTCCTGCAAGTTGTCCTCTGATCTCCACCATCACCCCTGCCCCACATACACAAAATAAGTAAAATGGGAATTTAAAAAACTAAACAAAATCAATGAAAACCAGTTTCCCCCAGTGCAAAGCAGCCCCTTCACAAACCAGGCAGGACCTTTTGGTACAGGCTTAACGAAAAGCTAAGCTTTAAATGCCTGACTTTCTAGATTGCTCCCCTGGAGTAGAACAGGAGGCCTAGCACTCACCGTCGGGGGGCTCTGGCTGGAGTCACAGTTTGTCAGCAGCTCATACAGGGTCACCCCAAAAGACCAGACATCAGATGCATAGTAAAATTTACATTCCTTCAGGCACTCGGGTGCATACCTGGGGGAATAGGGTACTTAGGTCTAGGAGTTGGATTCAGGGCTTTTACGGGGCCTGAAGGACCCGTCACCCCAGTTGGGATCCCACCTTTAAGGGCACAGCCTGAAGAACTGTAGCTCTCTTAAGCCAAGCCAAACTGGCCCTATCCCCTGGGTACCATGAGGCTTCGGCTCCGCCCCTTCCATCCCTAGGCTCCCTTCCGGCTTTGCTGGAATCAGGTCCTTCCCTCTGTGATCCATGGAATATACTCCACCCTGTTGGTTTCTAGTGACAATGGCATACGCCCCCTCAGACTATGCCCCATCCTGGTCACCAGAACACCGGGCTGTCGCCGTCCTCGCGCACGCGGTAGTATTCATGGCCTTCAGGCACTGCCTTGGCCAGGCCAAAGTCTCCGATCTTGACCAGCGTGTTGTGGTCCAGCAGCACATTGCGCGCAGCTAGGTCTCGATGGATGTAGCGCTGGGAATGCAGGTAGGCCATGCCCTGGGGGCAGGGCTGTGAGTCAGGGTCAGCCAGGGGAGCGGTAGGGCAGGGCTTGGGGGTGCCAGGGCCCGACAAGCAGAGACCAGTGTGGCCACCTGGCCTCGAGGGAGGAACGAGCAAAAGGTGATGGAGCCAGAGCACAAGGGTTGGGCCTGCAAACCTGGATAGGAGGGTGAGTTGCGAAGGATGGGGCTTGGTAGGCGGGTCCAAGCAAAGCTGAATGTGTCTGAGCATTGGGAACTGGAAGGGCTACGGGTAGGGTTTGCAGGGGCTGGCCAGGCAAGGCATGCTGGACAGGAGGGAGGGTGAATAAAGGGGTCTGAAGAGATGGCTCAGTGGTTAAGAGCACTGACTGCTTTTGGAGAGAACCCCATTTCAGTGCCCAGGACCCACATGGTGGCTAACAACCATCTGTAACTCCAGTTCCAAAGGATCTGGTGCCCTATTCTGGCCTCCATGAGCAGTGCACACATGAGATACACATATGCTTGATATCAAGCACAACATTCATACACATAAAATTTTCTTTTAAGGAACTGGAGAGATGGCTTAGCAGTTAAGCACACTGGCTGTTCTTGCAAAGGACCAGGATTCGACTCCCAGCACCCACATGGCAGCTAACAAACAGCTGTAACTCCAATTCCAAGGGATCCAAGGCTCTCTTCTGTCCTCCAAGGACACTGCATGACACAAGTGCACTTACATACATGCAGACATAAATAAAATAGCCCAGCCTGGTCTATATAGTAAGTTCTAGGCCAGCTGGGGCTACAGGGAGTCCCCGTTTCAAAAGGAAAAAAAAAACTTTAAAAAAATTTTGAGCTGGACTTGGTGGCGCATGCCTTTAGTCCCAGCATCCAAGAGGCAGAGGCAGGCGGATCTCTGTGAGTTCGAGGCCAGCCTGGTCTCCATAGTGAATCCAGGACAGCTGGGGCTACAGGGAGACCCTGTCTTAAAAAGACCAAAAAAAAAAAAAAATTGTTATTTTTGTTTTATGTGTATGAGTGTATTGCTTGTATATATGTAAGTGCACTCAAGCTGTGCAATGGGAGGTCAGAAGACGGTGTTGGATCCCTTAGAACTGGAGTTATAGATGGTTGTTAGCCGCCATGTGGGTGCTGGGAACCAAACTCAGGGATCCTCTGCAAGAGGAACCGGTGCTCTTATCCACTGAACCATCTCTCCAGCACCTTCCTAGCTTCCATGTGGGTGCTGGGAACTGAACCCAGGGTCCTCTACAAGGACCACTGAGTCCCTTCTTTTAAATCTTAAAAAATTTTAAGAAGGGGGTGGGCTGGAGAGATGACTCAGCAGTTAAGAGCACTGGTTGCCGGTTTAGAGGACCTCAGTTGGGTTCCTAGCACCCACATGGAGGCTAACAACCACCCTTAACTGCAGTTCTAGGGGATCCAATGCCCTCTTCAGGCTGCTGCAGGCATTTCACTTACACATATGCAAAACACTCATACACATAAAAAAATAAATCCAAGCTAAGCATGGTGGTAACATATCTTTAATCCCAGCACTTGGGAGGCAGAGGCAAGTAGATCTGCGTGAGATCAAAGCCAGCCTGGTCTACATAGTGAGTTCCAGGCCAGCTACAGGGATACCCCCTGTCTCAAAAAAAAAAAAAAAATCATACTCTCTCTCTCTCTCTCTCTCTCTCTCTCTCTCTCTCTCTCTCTCACTCCAAATAAATAAATAAAAAGAGGGTACAGGCTTAGTGGGTGGGGCCAAACTAAGGTAGAGTTAGGAACAGAGATTGTAGGGGCTAGGCCAGACAAGCATGGTTGAGGGTATGTATACAAAGTGTGGAGGAGAGCTTGGTAGGTGGGGCCAAGCAAAGATAGGTGGGTTCTGGCATCAGGAAACTAAGGATTAGGGGCTGGGCCTACCAGGGTTCGGTCAGGTGACCTGGACACAAAGAAGGATGGAAGTTCAGTTCAACTACAAGAGCAGAGGCAAGGACAGGACCCCTCAGGGCAGGCAGAGGAGATGCAGAGGTGGAGGTTCTGGAAAGAGGGGCAGGGTGGCTCACCTCACAGATCTGCTGGGCGAAGAGCAAGAGCTGTGCCAACCCCACGCTGTGGCGGGGTAGATAGTCACGGAGGCTGCCCAGAGGGACGTATTCCATGACCAGCTGCACAGACTTCTCCCCTGTCAAGGAGAGGGGCCATGGGGGATGTTGAAAAAAGGCCCGGTGTCCCTACATCCCACATCCCTGATGAGTCCCCTCCCAAGTAGGGACATAAGACCAAGAGCTGTGCACACCCGTTGAAATGGATCCATGAAGGACCCTGTCCCCCAGTGAGGGATGTGTTGGGACATCCTGTCCATCTTGGCCCCAAGAGGCAATTGAGCAATTCTAATTGGTCAGGCAAGTATCTCACACCCACACCCTGACCCCATCTAGAGCCCCGAACTTACCTTGGTCCTCACAGCAGCCTTTGTACTTGACAATGTGTTCGTGGTACAGAGTCCGTAGGATTTCAATCTCCCTCCACCAGCCTGAGCGGAGCTGGGGGCCAGATCCGTCTTTAAGGGCTTTTACAGCCACCATCTCCCCGGTGCCATCATTGGCTGGGTCATAACAGTACAGGCTGACCTTGCCAAAGTGACCCTGGCAGGATGGGGCAGGAAGGTCAGCACCAGGCCGTTCCAATGGGTGTCACTGGGTCTTCTTTCAATTTCCCAGGATCCTCTTTGAAGTTAAGAGGTCTTCACACATACCCCTCCCCCATCTCTGAGAACCACTCTTTTCTTTGTGGGAGGAGGGTCTTTTTTGAGACAAGGTCTCCCTATAGCCCCAGCTGGCCTAAAACTCACTATGTAGACCAGGCTAGCCTTGAAGATTTGCCTGCCTCTGCCTCCTGACTGCTGGTGCTTGCCACCACACCCGGCTTTAAATTTTTATTTATTTATATATATATTTTATTAATTTATTTATGTATTTATTTTGGTCTTTTTGAGACAGGGTCTCCATGTAGCCCCAGCTGGCCTGGAACTCACTATGTAGACCAGGCTGGCCTGGAACTCACTATGTAGACCAGGCTGGCCTCGAACTTACAGAGATCCACCTGCCTCTGCATCCACAGTACTAGGATTAAAAGGGTATACCATCACACTCAGCATATATTTTTATTTTATGTGTATAAATGTTATGCTTGTATGTGTAAGTACACCCCTGTCATGCAATGCCCTCAGAGATCAGAAGAGGATGTTGGATCCCCTGGAACTGGAGTTATGGACAGTTGTTAGCAGCCATGTGGGTGCTGGGAATGGAATCAGGGTCCTCTGCAAGAGTAGTCAGTGCTCTTAATCACTGAACCATCTCTTCAGTCTCCCCCCCCCTTTTTAAAAAATTTTTTGAGGTCTCAACCCTCCTGGAACTCACTTTGTAGACCAGGTAAGCCTCGTACTCAGAGAGAGAGACGAGATCTACCTGTCTCTGAACATTCAGACTATTATTATTATTATTATTGTTATTATTATTATTATTATTACTGTTGTTGTTGTTGTTATTAATCTTTTTTGAGACAGTTTCCCTGTAGCTGAAACCCCAGCTGGCCTGGAATTCCCTATGTAGACCAAGTTGGCCTCCATCTCAGAGAGATCTCTTGCCTCTGACTCCCAGAGTGCTAGGATTAAAGGTGTGTGCCACCATGCCTGGCCCAAACTATTAAAATTTCCTTAAGCTCCAAATTCTTCCCAGGGCTTCTAGCAGTCCTGCCCCCAACTCTCCCCTACACTTTGGCAATCCAGCCCCGCCCCCAGCTCTCCAGCCTCTCCCAGAGCTCCAGACCCGCCCTCACCTCTCCTAGGTCCCGGATTTTTTTCAAATAACGCTTGTGGAAAACTGTGGGATCAGAGGCCGGTGAGTCTGCATTTACAGCTGAGACATCCACCAGGTCTGGAAGAGCGGTAGTGGGCAAGGTTAGAGCCTGGCCCTCCCCAGCTGGCCCACACCGGATCACAGGCTGGGCCCCCGCCCCCTAGTATCTCCCTCTCATCTACACATCTGTAGGTGAACCCGAAACTCCCATGTACCCCAGTTCAGAGACCTCAAGGGCACGATGCCTGCAGGGACCCCACCGCAGCCCATCCCCAGGGCCCCACGCACTCTGCGGTTGTAGCCGAGTGAGGTCACGCAGGATGGTACGGAATGACGGCCGCTGGGCTGGCTCATAGGTTAGACACTGGCTGGTGAGCGTGGCCATCTCTGGACACGAGGGATCAGGCAGATGGTGCTGCTTCAGATAGAATCGCTCCTTCTATGGGGGATGGGGACCCACGGGAGTGAGTAGGCTATCCCAGCCCCTTCCTCTAAAGGCACGTCCAGGTCTAGGGGCAGCAGGATGGCTCATCTTTAAACTTCCGTTTCACAGAGGAGCCAACTGAAGCTTGGTAAAGGGCTGCAGTCTGGAATCTGACCCAGTGCAGCCAGCTCTACAGAGCTGAAGCAGGTCTCCTCCTAAGCCAGGTTCACCCACCAAATCCTGCATTTAATCAGATCTGTGGGGTGCATTGCTCAGCCCCTCATGTGGACTAGGGAACCATTCGGAGCCCACGATTCTACCACACTGCCCAAAACGGAGGCACCAGGGTATTTCTGTTTCCTTTTAATTATTTATTTTTATTTTATGTGTGTGTGTTTTGCCTGCATGTATGTAGGTTTACCATGTGTATGCAATGTCCACAGAGACCAGAAGAGGGCGTCGGATCCCTGGAACTGGAGTTACAGATGGTTGTTAGCTCTGAACCTGGGTCCTCTGCAAGAGCAGCCGGTGTGGTCTTAACCGCTGAGCCAGCTCTCCAGCCTGTTTTCTTTTGTTGAGGTTTCATCTGTGCCAGGCTGGTTTGAACTCGATACATAGCCAGGGACAACTTTCAACTTGTTTTTTTTTTTCTTTTTTTTTTTTGAGACAGGGTCTCTCTGTAGCCCCAGCTGGCTGGTCTCGAACTCACAGAGATTGCCTGCCTCTGCCTCCCAAGTGCTGGGATTAAAGGCGTGCACCACCACGCCTGGCTCAACTTTCTTAACTTTTTAAAAATATTTATTAGATGTGAATGTGTGTGGAGGTCAGAAAATAACTTGCAGGAGTCTGTTCTTTCCTTCTACCACATGGGCTCTGGGATCAAACCTGGGTTGTCAGGCTTGCTGCAAGCACCTTTATCCATTGAGTCATCTCACCAGGTTGCTCTTTATCTTATGAAAAATTTTAATTACATTTACATATTTAATGTGTGTGTGTGTGTGTGTGTGTGTGTGTGTGTGTGTGTACACCCGCAAGCACACATGTAGAGGTCAGATAACTTGTGAGAGACAATTCTTTCTTTCCACTATGTGGGACCCACAGATTGAACTCAACTGGTCAGCCTTTAGCCACTGAGCCGTCACTCCCTATGTAGCACAGGATGAGCTTCAACTTCTGCCACCACCTCTCAAGTGCTGGGATTATACGTGTGGACCACCACACCTGGTTTGTGTGGTGCTAGGGCTCTGTGCATGCCAGGGGAGTGTTCTACTCACCCAACCACAGCCCCAATCCAGGAAGGGAAGCATATTTTCTTTAATTGCTTTCTTTGTCCCCAGCACAGATTTCCACAAGGACGTTAAAAAATCAGGAAGGCACAGAGTCTGGTCAGTGGTTAAGAGCACTGACTGCTCTTGCAGAGGACCTGGGTTTGGTTCCCAGAACTCAAAGCGGCTAACAACCACCTGTAACTCCAGTTCTAGGTCTAAAGCCCTCTTCTGGGCTCCACAGGCACATGGTCTATTTATACATGTACAGGCAAAACACTCATATGTATAAAATAAAAATGAGTAAAATTTTTTTAAAAACTTGGAAGGCTGTGAATGCCAATTGATAGTTTGGGCATCTGTGGACATACCTCGGAGGGGCTACGGCCCTGGAGTGGTGCCTCCCCATCGAAGCAGATCTCGAGGAGGGTGGCACCAAAACCCCATTTGTCGGCAGCGGTGCTCAAACTACCGGCCTCTCCAGTTAGGCACTCGGGAGCTGTCCAGGGGATGCGTTCCACCTGCTCTGGGGACCACAAGTCACAGGTCAGAAGGTTGGAAGGGACAGAGTTTTGGAAAACCAGTGTCCAGCCCACCTGTGGAACTCACCTTCCCTGGAAAGGGCACCTAAGCCCACGCCTGGGTCGCTGAGCTTGATGAAGGGGCTGGTGTCCTCCTCCACCCCCAGCCGGGCCAGCAGGATATTCCGGCCACACACATTCCCGTGAACCAGTTTCTTGTCCTCCTGGGATGGGAAAAGGAGAAAAAGGTGTGTGACTCCCCTGGGCAGGGCAAGACAGTCTCCATTCACCCACCATCACATCCCATGAGGCCATGGAAGAGGCAACCATCAACATTACAGGGGATGATTATATGATGTCATTAGAACCAGGCAACCCTGAGAGCTGACTGGGTTGCACCATACCATCTCCACATACCAGGTAACTGAGGGCACTGGCAAGCTGTTGAGCCACAGCCACCTTCCAGGTCATGGGCACCTGGCCCCTTTGTCGTCGCAGCCACACATCCAAGGGACCATGTTCTACAAACTCAGTTACGATGATGTCTAAAAAGACACAGCTGCTAGAGGGGCAGCTCCCTCCCTCCACTTCCCACCACCTCCAGGGACCAAGGACAGGTCATGGGGGCTCTTGCTGGGGGGTGCTGAGGCTGAGCAGGGTTTGGAGGGGGAACTCTGAAGACAGAGGAAAGGGGGAGGTAGAGATGGAATGGGGAATTGGGGCCCAGTGAGCAAGGACTGAGGAACTGGACAAGCAAGTGACAAGAAAGGTGCAGGAAATGGAGAGATGGAGGCAGCAGTGGGTCAGGCACAGGCTGGGAAAGTGGCCTTGGGGTACAGACTAGCATCAGAGGAAGCAAGAAAGGGTAACACACACATGCAGGACAGGCAGAAAAAGGACAAGGTGGAGCCAGGTCCAGCCAGATCTCGGTGAGTCCAGGTCAGCCTGGTCTACACAGTGAGAGACTCTGGCTTAAAAAAAAAAAAAGAAACAAACAAGGTTTCTTCTAGGCTATAAGTAGGGCTGAGACACAGGGGGAGAGGGGACACAAGTTTGGGGTCTGCTTATGGCTGCAATGCCAAAGGGGTCAGAGAGTGAGTATGGGCTGGGATGTAAGAGTTGGGACGGGAAAGGGAGACTAAGATGTCAGGGATCAGGCTGTGGGTCAAGAACTGGGGTAAAGAAAGGGGTCAGGGAGAGAGAAGGGCAAGGTACAAAATAGGATTGATGTAAACATAGGGAGGTGCAGAGTGAGGAGTGGGGTATGCACTGAAGGGTAAGGCAGAGTCCTGCTTCGGGGATCCCTGAGAGATGAGTGGTCAAAGGGGCTGGGAGTGTGGCCCAGGGGTAGAACTCTTGCCTAGAAATCCCCCAATGAGGAGATGGGGCGAGGCTCAGTAATAGAGCCCCTGCCTAAAATGGGGGGCTGGGGGTATGGCTCAGAGGTGGAGCCCCTGTGAGGAGCCACAGTGAGGGTAAGGGCATGGCTCAGAGGTAGGGTGTTTGCTCTGCATGCTTGAAGGCCTAGGTTCCATCTTGTAAAAATGTAGTTCAGAGTGAGGGTTCAGGCCAGGGCGAAGGTAGAAGCATGAGGTGCGAGCCTGGCTGGGTGTTAGGGTGCACTCACTCTCTGAACCACGCACACAAACACCATGCAGGAAAGCCAGGTGCATGTGAGACACCTGGCTCATGAGGCTAGCTGTCTCGTAGAAGGCCTGTGAAGACAGGACAAGTCCAGGACACTGTAATCCCCACTGTTCCTCTCACTGTCCCCTCCAGACACCCTGGGGTGGACTAGCTCACTCACCAATGCGATGTCATGGTGACTGGGGTCGAGGACTTTAAGCACCACACGGAGCTCCTGCCCGCTGCCCCCACCAGGTTCAGGGGGATACCCACTGTCCACTTTGCCTTCCTCAGGGCCCCCTACTCGCAGAAGGCCCTCATATACATTGGTTCTTGTACCCTGGCCCAAGTGGGATAGCTGGAGGAAATGACATCCAATACTGCTGTGAGGCTGGCTGCAGGTGACCTCCAGATCCCTGGGACTCCCCATCCCCTGCAACACCTACTTGCGTGATTTCATCTTGACGAATCCTGTGGAAGCTGAGCTGGCTGAGGTTGAGTGGCCTGGTATGGGCGCGAGACCCCCTCATGATCAGGAGGTTGGACAGTTCTAGGGGTACAAGCAGAAATCGCCCACATGGACTGACACAGGGGAACACAGTCCATACCCACCTGACTGTCAGCCTTCTACTTACCTCCCGGCTGGGGCAGACAGCAGTGTCGCAGAGGGAAGCAGTCATCTCCAGCCCGCAGAGAACAGCCCTGCAAAGCCACCCTGAGGTCCCCCACGCTGGCAAAGGAGCGATCCCAGCCTTCCAGGACAAATGCCCCAGGCTGCTGAGCAATGGGAAACTTGCGGAGGCGGAGGCTCTGAGGGCCACTGCCTTGTGCCTGGGGTGGGTGGGGGAGAGAGGTGAGTAGGGGTTGGGATAGAGAACATGCTCAGATTCAGCCCAGGATGACCATCCCTCCTTAAGCCTCCCTGGCTGGCTCCAGGCCCACCGGGTCATGCTGGGCCACTGTGAGAATCAGCCGATGCAGGTGACTGGTGCTCCAGTGGATGAGGAAGAGACCATCCTCCGGCCGCAACTTGGCCTGCACAAATGAGTCCCTGGGAAAGGGTAGAATGAGGGATACCATCAGGCCCTGTGTGGGCACTGGCAGACCCATGCCTGGTGATGGTGGTGAGAGACCAGCCCAGGGATCCACACACCAGTCCCTTGGGAGCATGGCTCTTGGCATACCCCTTTAGTCCCAGTACTTGAGAAGCAGAGGCAGGCTGATCTCTGTGAGGTTGAGGCCAGCCTGGTCTACATAGTGAGTTCCAGGCCAGCTAGGGCTACAAGGAGACCCTGTCTCAAAAAGACGAAACAAACAAACAAACAAACAAACAAACAAACAAACAAACAAACAAACAAACAAACAAACAAAGCCTGAGGAACTGGGTGCAATGATGCAGATCTGCAATTCCAGCACTCAGGAAGCTGATGTCAGAGGGTGGCAGAACTATCTAGTGAGTTTCTGTACAACCTGGGCTCTGTCTCCTACTCCCCTCCCCCCACAAAAAGGTGCTGGAAAGCTGGCTCAGCAGTTAAGAACACTGGCTGCTCTTGCAGAAGACCTAGGTTTGGGTCCCACCACCCATATAGCAGCTAACTACTGTCTAACTCCAGTTTCAGGGAATCTGATGCCCTCTTCTGGCTTCTGTGGGAATTCAATGTGTGTGGTGCATTTACATACATTCAGACAAACACTCATATATATAACATAAAAATAAAAAACTGCCAGGCGTGGTTGCACACATCTTTAATCCCAGCACTTGGGAGGCAGAGGCAGGCGGATCTCTGTGAGTTCAAGGCCAGCCTGGTCTACATAGTGAGTTCCAGGCCAGCTGGGGCTACAAGGAGACCCTGTCTCAAAAAGACCGAAAAAAAAAAAAAAAACCAAAACAAAAAACCCCCACAACATCAGAACATCACATACCAACACTGAGTCCATACACACATACACACACACACGGCCAGAGACACATATCATGTAAGAACAGACACATGTGAATATAGTGTCAGACACAGTCACTCAGACAGGAAATAGCCATCCAATGTCACAGGGGACACACCCAGCCACAGTAGAACATGAGTAACTTAGTGGAGAGAAAGTCACATGCCCCAAAACAGACACCACAGCTGCAGCCGGTCATCCTGGGTCAAGGGCCACATGGGGACACTATGGTTTCAATATGGTTTGTCCCCCTGAGACTCACATCTGACCCTAGTGCACATGGTGAGGGGTAAAAGGGTGGACACAGGGCCAGATGTGGTAGCACACACCTTTAATCCCAGCAGAGGCAGAGGCAGAGGCAGACTGATCTGTGTGAGTTTGAGGTCAGCCTGGTCTGCATGTTGAGTTCCAGGCCAGCTGGGGCTACAGGGAGATCCTGTCTCAAACAAAACAAAACAACAAAAGAAAACAAAACACAACACAAAACACCAAACTAAAATCCCAGCACTCAGGAGGCAGAGGCAGGTGGATTTCTGTGAGTTCAAGGCCTGCCTGGTCTACATAGACAGTTACAGGCTGGCCAGTGATACAGAGTAAGACCCTGTCTGAAAAAAAAAAAAAAAAAAAACAGTCATGAGCCAGGTGTAGTGGTACATGCCTCTAATCCCAGAAGAAGATCAGGAGTTCAAGGTCATCTTCAGCTACCCACAGAGTTTGAGACAGCCTGAACTACATGAGACACCCTCAAAAAACAAAATAAGGGGCCGACAAGATGGCTCAGCAGGTAAAGGAGCTTGCTGCCCAGCCTGATGACCTGAGTTCAATCTCTAGGACCCATGTAGTAGAAGGAGAGCAATGACTCCTACAAATTGTGCTCTGACTGCCACACATGTGCTAGGATTACAGGTGTGGACCAACATGTCCAGTTTATGCTGTGCTGGGAAATCAAACTGGACTTTGTGCCTGTCAGGTAAGCATTCTGCTCAGTAACATTTAGCTTCAGACTAGAAATTCCTGTGTGTGTGTGTGTGTGTGTGTGTGTGTGTGTGTGTGTGGTGTGTATGAGTGCATGCATGCCATTGTACACTGGTGTAAGTTCTAGAAGACAACCTTGGGTGTCAGTCTTTGGTCACCCTTGGTTGACCACTTTTGTTAAAGCTGGGGTCTCTGTCGTTCATGGCTGCATACATCAGGCTAGCTGGCCTGTGAGCTTTCTGGCATGGCTTCCACCTCCCACCTCACTGTATAATCACTGGGATTACACACGTGAGTTACAGAGCTGTTACGCAGATTTTAGGGACAGAACCTAGGTCTTCACACCTGTCAGGGCAAGCACTTTATAAACACTGAACCATTTCTCAAGGGGATCCGATGCCTCTCTGGCCTCTGCAGGCATTGTACACGTGAGATACACTTGCATACATCTAGGCAAAACACCCATACTCATAAAATAAAAATAAAGTAAAAATAAATTTTATAAAATAAAATAAAATATAGCCAAATGTGGTGGCCTCTTTAATCCCAGTACTCTGAAGGCAGAGGCAGAGAGAGCTCTGTGAGTTGTAGGCCAGCCCAGTTTACATATCAGTTCCAGGTCAGCTGGGATTACATAGTAAGAGCCTGTCTCAAACAAAACCCTGGGACTGGAGAGCTGGCTCAGCAGTGAAGCACACTGGCTGCTCTTGCAGAGGAACCAGGTTCAGTTCCCAGCACCGACATGGTGGCTAACTACTGTCCTTAACTCCAGTTCCAGGGAACTGAATGCTCCCTTCTGGCCTCTGCAGGCATTGCACAAGATGGGTGCACTTACATAAATGCTGGCAAAACACTCATATACATAATAAAAATTAAAATTAAAAAAGGATTTTAAATAACCCAATAATTGGTTGAGTGTGATGGCACACGCCTTTAATCACAGCACTCAGGAGGTAGAGGCAAGTGAATCTCTGCAAGATCAAGGCCAGCCTGGTCTACATAGCAAGTTCCAGGCTAGCTGGTGCTACAGGGAGACCCTGTCTCAAAAACCCAAACAAAACAAAAACCCAATAAAAATAAACAAATAAATCTTTAATTTTGAGATAGGGTCTCACTATGTAGCCAAAAGCTGTCCTCAAAACTGTCATTCTCCTGGACTAGAGAGATGACTCAGCAGTTAAGAGTACCAACTGCTCTTACAGAGGACCTGGGTTCGATTCCCAGCACCCACATGGTTCTTAACAACTGTCCATAACTCCAGTTCCAGGGTATCTGACACCTTCTGAACTCTAGGAGCACTGCATGACACAGGTGCACTTATACACATGCAAGCAATGCACATAAAACAAAAATAATAAGCTGGGCGTGGTGGTGCATGCCTATAGTCCCAGCACTTGGGAGGCAGGTGGATCTCTGTGAGTTTGAGTCCAGCCTGGTAAAAAACCTGTCATTCTCCTGCCTCAGCCTCCTGAGTGCTGGGATTACAGCTGTGTGCCACCATACTCTGCTAACCTCTTTTCTTTATGAGTGTCCAGTACAGGGGTCGACTTGCTAGAGGTAACAATAGTAATAAGCAAAGAAGGGACTTAAAGGAGTCAGACACAAATGGCCAGAGAGCTAGACATAGACACAGTGGCCTACTGATGTGGTCCATAGACAACTGGGGCGGCACACACCTGGGTGTGCTAGCAGGTGCACCTGTAACCCTCAGGAAGCGAAATGGCCACTTCAGCATTCCACAGGGTAGGGACGAGCCTCAGGGAGCCTAAATGTCTAAAGATAAACTCAGCTGCTAATTCTCAGTGTCTCAGGGTGGACAACAGATAGCCACACACAGATCAATGACCAGACTCACAAACCATGGGATGCAGGCAGCTGCTCATGCTTCTGTCCCTGAGGACAGTCACCAACCATTCATGCAGTCCTGTGCACACACACACTGGCCTAAGCATAATCATGTAACATGCCCCTGAAGGGCAGTTTGCACTGGCATAATCTACTGTTGTATGGGAATCCTGTCCTGTAAAAACATAAGTCCCTGGAGCAGTGGTACAGCCCCATGACCAACCAAACAGTCATGCATGGGACAGTCTTAAACATTGGACCCTCGTAATGACACACTGCCCAACCCATCCCAGGTGAGTTCACCTAGCACAAAGGTACACTTTGATAGGCACCCACCCCAGGGCCAGTGAGAGGGATCAGTGGGCAGGGGCTTGCTGCCAAGCCTGACAACCCAAGTTTGATCCCTAGGACCTACATGGTGAAAGAAGAGAACCAACTCCCACAAGTAGTAAGCCGGTACTAGTTGGATGTGTGCTCATACATGTATGCACAGAACACATGTAAACATGTATAGCCAAGACCATGCATATTCATGTAATAACAGAGGGGCTGGTGCAGGTACACAAAGTTCCATATGAAACACGTGTGTTCAGACATGGACACAAGGAGACACATTCAGAGAAACACATATGCTCACACAGAGACAGACACAAGACACACCACACAGAAGGTGTGCATGGGGCCACCCAGTACATGCAGTGCATGACTACACAGTGGATAGCATTCTCATGGGCTGACACCACACATGTGTGCACCAACATGCACACATACTCAGGCACCGAAGACACATGTATTAACATGCACAGATGCTCAGGCATTGCACACATGTGCACTGACATGCACACATGTTAGATGTATGCAGGAGCATCCGAGTGTGCATATGCCCTGTGGATGTGTGAACGAGTGTGTCACACTGCATTTGGAATCCTCGCAGAGCCACCCCTACCACATGCCTGCCACTCACAGCAGTGGCCCATGGATGCCGTCCCGGATGCTCAGCACCAGCCGCGGGGGTGCCACCTCATGGCACAGGTAGTGGCTGGAGTCTGCGGTCAAGCGGAAGTAGCCATCCACCAGGGCGACAAAGGACAGGGCCGCAGCCCTGGAAGGCAGGGTCAGCTCCTGTGACCGGGGGACATGGTTAGGGTTCCAGGCAGGCCGGGTCATGGCACCTCGTGCCAGCCACTGCCTGGGGCCTCACCAGGCACTTGTTGTCCTGCCTGTGTACACGGACACGCTGATCCTTCAGCACCATGTGGGAGATGTCCTGGAAGTCACAGAAGTAGGACCAGGCCGGTTTCTGTGGCTTCTCCACTGCATTCTCCCCAGCACTGAGGGCCTTGGCTTTCTTCCCAGATGAGCTGGTTTGGGGAACCCTGCCACCATCACTCTCAGACGCCTAAAGACCCAGCCAGTGGGGCAAGGAACAGAGCAAGGATGGTCTGAGTCCTTCAAAAGACAGAGGGAAATGGGGCATGGGGGTTCATGCCTGTGACCTCAGCACTGGGAAGTCTGGGGCAGGAGGATCACCATGAGTTCAAGTTACATAGTTGAGTTCCAGGTTAGCCTGAGCTACAGAGAGAGATTGTGCCTCAAAAAAATAAAAAATAAACTGAGCATGTTGGCACACGCCTTTAATCTCAGCACTCGGTAGGCAGAGGCAGGTGGATCTCTGTGAGTTCAAGGCCAGCCTGGTCTACATAGTGAGTTCCAGGACAGCTGGGGCTACAGGGAGACCCTGTCTCAAAAAGACCAAAAAATAAAAATAAATAAATAAAATAAAATAAAAAATCAGGGGCTGTTGAGATGGCTCAGCAAATAAAGGCATTTGTAGCCAGGCCTGACCATTTGAGGTCAATGCCTGACCACATGGTGAAAGGAGAGAACCAACTCCTCCTGCAGGTTGTCCTCTGACCTCCACACACACAAATAAATTAAAAGAAAAATAAAAAATCAAAGACAGAAGGCCAGACAGAAATGCCTCCAAAGTCAAGTGAAGACAGGGCTCCCATAGGCCACCCTGAGGACCCCACAGCTAATGGTGAGTGGGGACCCCAGCCCCAGGGCTGCCAAAACCCCAGACTACAGGCACCATCCTGCTCACCTGGGTCTGTACCAGCCGCCACTGGATTCCTCCGGTTCCCGTCACCAGTACCTCGTGAGTGGGAGGCCCAGTGGTCACCTCTGGGCCCAGGTCCCCAGGGACTGGTCCACTATTCTGGAAGTAGCAGGGGTCCCTCTCAGCCTGGGCCAGTATCTCCAGGTGATACACAGGAAGGAGCTCTGAACCGAATCGAGGTGCCAGGCGCTCCAGGGTGGCCAGGTATTTGACCATCACGACCTGCTGGGAAAGGTGGCCAGGCCTGAAGGCCCGCAGGAAGCGGCGGAAGACTCTGCGAAGGCGCAGACGTGTGAGAGCATTGTGTTGACAGATCTGCTGGCGGAAGGAGCGAGGGATGCAGTCCTTGAAGCTGTGAAGGTGACATGGTTTGTGAGGGGAACAGGTCAGGAATCTGTGCAGCCAGACAGTTTGTGTGACATGGGGTGAGTGGCTTAACCTCTCTGATTCTCAGCTGCATTATCTAGAAAATAGGCCCAATGTCAGGAATGGGAAAGACTGGGTCCTGGGGTGGACAGCAATTGGAAAGCTGGGGCTATGGCTTCTGGGCCACCCTGAGCTACATAGGGAGACTTTGTCTTAAAACACAAACAAAACAGGGCTGGTGAGGTAGTTCAGGGTAAAGGGGTTTACCACCAAGGCTGATGACCTGAGTTCAATCTCCAAACACTTAGAGAATTAGTGTTCACAATAGGTGTTCTATAAGTGCTTCTTGTATGGATGAAGGCCACATACAACATCTACTCTAGGCTCTAGTGCACGAGGTTTTCCACCCACCTACTCCAGTCTCCACTCCGTTCCCTGTCACCTGATCTCTCTGGCCACCTCCTGCAGGGAGACTTCACGGCTGAGAGCAAGGTGGCAGAGGTGCAGAAAGGCCATGCCTAGACTCTCGTTCTTAAAATAGTGGATCTCTTCCTCGCTTGACAGATCCCGGAGGGAAATCACGTCATTCACAAACTCGTGCTTACCCTGGGAGGGGAGGAATTGGATAGAATGTTTTTACTCTGTAAACATTAAGCTCTAGTTCCCTATTTCTGGGCATCTTGTGGGGAGAGGAGACATCACTATTTTTCTAGAAAGGCCAAATACACAGCACACACACCACCTCCATCAAAGCTTGTGCCTGTGGCAGACATCACTAATCAATCCCAACAACCATTCAACCCAAGTTCTTTTGGTTTAGGCACCTAAGAGATTTTAGTTGATATCAGCTGAAACATTTTAGCTAAAGTGGGGGGAGGTTAATTAACTATTCCTATTTCCTCCCCTAAATACTCCAACCTCCCTATCCTTACTCATACCTGCTCAAAGAGATACTCAAATGAGGCAGAGTCCAGGAGCTGGACCCCCTGGTCTGTCCGGTCTGAGGAAGTCTCTGCCCCTGGGAAACCACAGCGGTATACAGCCGGCTCCTGGGGATTCATGCCATGCCAGTTCCGGAAGTAGAACCTGAGAGACAGGAAGGCACACAGCAGGTTCTTAGAGATGCACACAGCTCCTGAACCAATGGAACCAGCTGAGGACAGGGGGACAGATGGCTCAGTGAGTGAAGCACATGCTGTGCAAGCATTCTGACCCGAGTTCAAATCCTCACAACACATATGAAGGCCAGTGTGGCAGTGCGTGTGGAATCCCAGTGTTCCTGCGGAGATGGGAGCCCTGGAACCTCACCAGCCACCCTGCCTTGGGGCATGCAGTGGTGAGCAAGAGAGCCTGTCTTGGGCCAGTGAGGTGGCTCAGTAAGGAGCAGGGTGCTTGACACCAAGCCTGATGACCTGAGCTCAATTCCACATGGTAGGAGAGAAGCAACTCTTGTGCCATAGTACACAGGCGCACACGTGCACGTGTGCACATACGCATACACACACAGACACGCAGACACAGACACACACATGCACGCATCTTCCACTCACCTCATACGAAAATACAGCGTCAGGTTTGTACTTTGGGATGTGTCCAGGACATGGTTTGGTGGCAGCCAGACCTGAGCCTGGGCATCGTAGAGGGCGAAGAGATTGAGGCAGGGAGGAGTGATTCCTGGAGGCGGGGGGGCAGATCAGGAGTTGTGTGGTCTGTAGGCCTCAGCTCTGAGGATCCTGGGACCCACCTACCCACCTGCTGTTCCCCTTCAGATACTTCCCAGGTCCCTCCCCTGTCTATAGTCTGGCACATATGGACACAGGCAGAAGGTGACTCAGTTATGCCCCCATCATGCCACATCTGCCTTAGTTGCTGCCTTAAGCTTTCCACAGATCCCTACTGCCCGCTGAGAAATACCGATCCTTCAGCACCGAGTAACTGGGACCTGGCTCTGTCAGTCAGGCATGCTTTTGATTCTTCTATTTTTATTTTACTCATTTATTATAGTTGGGGGCAGGCTGAGTGCTGGCTCAGCAGTTAAAGAGCACTGGCTGCTCTTACAGAGGATCCGGGTGCTACAGCGGAGCCAATGCCCTCTTCTGACCTCTGCTGGCATTGCACAGCATGGGTGTGGTTACATACATGCAGGCAAAACACTCATATAAATTTATAAAAATCAAAATTAAGTTTAAAAATTTTCATTTATTATTCTTTTATTTCATGAGTGTATTGCCTGCATGTATGTACGTACACCCATTCTGTGCAATGCCAGCAGAGGTCAGAAGAGGGTGTCCTGTTGGAGTCCCTGGAACTGGAGTTACAGACAGTTGTTAGCCACCATGTATGTACTGGGAACAGAATCTGGGTCCTCTGTTAATAGCAACCAGTGCTCTTAACTGCTGAGCCATCTCTCCAGCCCCCAAAATTTAGGGGTTTTATTGGGTTTTTTTTTTTGGCCTTTTTGAGACAGGGTCTCCCTGTGGCCCCAGCTGACTGGAACTCCCTTTGTAGATCAAGGCTGGCCTTGAATTCAGAGATCCATCTGCCTCTGCTGACTGCTGGGATTAAAGGCGTGTGCTACCATGACCAGCTATCAAAATTTAGCTTTTAAAAATATTTTAGTTTTTATTTTATGTGTATGAGTGTTTAGTTGCATGTATGTAAGTGCAGCACATGCATGCAATGCCTGGGGAGGTCAGAAGGCACTGAATCCCTTGGTACTGGAATTTTGGATGGCTATTAGCTACCATTTGGGTGCTGGGAACTGAACCCCGGCCCTCCGCAAGGGCAGGCAGTGCTCTTCACCACTGAGCCATCATCTCTCTAGCCTGTTATTTATTTTTGAGATAGATCTCATGTAGCTCAGGTTGCCCTTAAACTCCCTATGTAGCCAAGGATAGGTTTAAACTACTGATTTTCCCACCTCCACTCTCCACAGTGCTGATATGACAAGCATGCACCATCACGTCAGACTCATGTGGTGCCGGGATGGAGCTGGGGCTTTGTGCGTGCCAGGCTCTGCTCACTGAACCCCAGTGAAGAATTTCGATTCTTACTTCCCTTTCCCAGTTCTTAGAATCAGCCCCATCAGCCCCAGTGTCTTCTGGTTCCTCAAACAGGGTATGGTCTCTGGGCCTCAATGGACACTGTTCCCTCTGCAGAGCCCTGGTCCCATCACTCATGCTAGGACCTTGACTGCAGTGGGGAACAGAGGACCTGCTGCAACTAAGCAATGGATCACCCGGTATGAAACTCAAGGGAGATGCTCATGGAGCATTGTGGGAGAAGGGGATTCCCCATAGGCAGCAGGTGAGTCATCTTAAACGGAGGGAACTCAATGCAGTGACAGACATCATATCCTCATGTGGTTTGAACATGTCCTAAAGTCCACGTGCTAGAAATGTAACACCCAACATCACATGCTAATGGAATTTGTAGGCAGTGCCTTTGATAGGTGAGATCACAGAGGTTTTAGGAAAAGGGACCACATGATGGTGTTAGTGGCTTCTACTGAACCACACCAACAGCCCCTCACTGAGCTCCCTGGTTCAGTACTCTCCTTATACATTCCTGTGTTCCTACATCTCTCCCCCCTCCCCTGCTCCCCCCTCCCCTCGAACCTGAGTCCCGACGTGAGGCTGCCTCTCAGGAGTTGACTCCTGGTTTGTGAAATGTTGTCTATGAAATGGACAGAAAGATTGCCACCCAAACCAAGGCTATGTACTCACCCACTTTGTGTGCGATCTGGATACAGATGTCCTCCACAGTCAGAGATGTCTGGCTGAAGGTGACCCAGGGTTCTCGACCCTCTGGGCCAGCCCAGTGCAGCAGCACTGTGAGGCCTCCTGTAGTGACCATGGGTTGAGCTTCTTCACCAACTGCCTTCCTGGCTTTTGCCTCAGCTCCCCGATGACACAGAGGCATGCTTCTCACAGCTCACTGTGTTGGTTAGGCACAGGCAGTCAACTCCCAGGCCACAATCTGAAGGCCCCTTTGTGCCTCTGCTTTGCACTCACCCAGGTTGAGGCACTGAGGGAAGATCTGGGGTCCCCTGGCTATGTGACTGCCTCCCCTCAACTTCACTTTACACACTTGTTCCACAGTGCTGGTGACTCCTGTTGCTCATGATGTCACTAAACCATCATTTTTATTTTTCAATCTTTTTGAGACAGGGTCTCCCTGTAGACCAGGCTGGCCTTGAGCTCACAGAGATCTGCCTGCCTCTGCCTCCAGAGTGCTGGGATTAAAGGCTTATGCAACCATGCCTGGCCAAGCCATATTTTTTGGTTAACTTTTTTGAGGCACAGTTTCATGTAGCCCAGGCTGGCCTGAAAACTCACTATGTAGCCAAGGATGACCTTGAAGCTCTAATTCTCCCATTTGTTATCTCAAATGCTGGGATTATAGGTGTGCACCATCTTGTCTGGCTTGCTTGTGTATTTATTTATATATTTACTTATTCAGTTAAGCAGGGCATAATGGCACATGGTTTTAGTCTCAACACTTGGAGGGCAGAGGCACAGCCTGGTCTACACAGAGAGCTCCAGGCCAGCCAGAGCTATATAGTGAGACCCTGTCTCAGAAGATAGGTGCTGGAGAGGTGGCCAATGGTTAAGAGCACTGGCTGCTCTTGCAGAGGATCTGGGTTCACTTCCCAGAATCCATATGGCAGCTTAAGAACCATCCTTAACTCAAGTTCCAGGGGATCCGATGCCCTCTTCTGGCCTCCATGAGCATGGCACCCATGAGTACACATTTACATACATGAAGGCAAAGCACTCATACACAAAGAATAAAATAAATGAAAAAAAAAATTTTAAAGGAGGGAGCTTGGGTGGTGGCACACACCTTTAATCCCAGCAGTGGGGAGGAAGAAGCAGAGGCAGGGACGTTGTGAGTTTGAGGCCAGTCTGGTCTTCATAACAAGTTCTAAGTCAGCTGAGGCTACAGGGAGACCCTATGCCAAAAATAAAAAAACAAAAAAAGAAGGGGAGTAGGTAGGGCTAGGGAAATGGCTCAGTGGGCAAAATGTTTGCACATAAAATAAAAATAAAACTTTCAACAAAAAATGATTGATGATAGATAGATAGATAGATAGATAGATAGATAGATAGATAACACAGACAGGTATCTGCTCTGAATCAAGCTCCCAGATGCAGGCAAGCAGATGAAACAGACCTGACAGCGTGTTTTAGAAGTTCCTGTGTGACCTCAGGCAGTGCACTTAACCTCTCTGGTCCACCACTTCCGTAAGTAGAACAGACATACTGAGACTGTGGAAAGATGTTCCCACCTGGTTCTTCATGGTACTGGGTAAGTACAGACCTTGAATTAGACAGGAAAATTTTACAAAAACAAAAAACAAATGAGACTCCAACCATTAGTGGGATTGCAGGGGTCAGGAGAAATGCAGTGTTTGCTTATCATGCAAAATGCTCTGGGTTTGGTCCCTCACACCACTTCACCAAAAAAATTCATTCATTATGGAGTCAGCAAGATGGCTCAATGGATACAGGTGCTTGTAGCCAAGCATGATGATCTGAGTTCAATCCCTGGAACATATGTAGTAAAAGGAGAGAATCAAGTCCTGCAAGTTGTTCTCTGACCTCTATAGGTACCATGTGTACACATGTACACACAAATGCACACTAAATATAACAAAAAATTTCTTTGGTGTTTTTTTGAGACAGGGTCTCCCTAGAGCCCCAGCTGACCTCAAACTCACTATGTAGACCAGGCTGACCTTGAACTCACAGCAATTTGCCTGCCTCTGCCTCCCAAGTCCTGGGATTAAAGGCGTGCGCCACCATGCCTGGCATGACAAAAAATTTTAAAGAATTAAATAGTTAAATTAAATCATAATTAGCTTCACCATTATCATTTTTCTCTCAGTGTCTGCAGATCCACCCCTGCAGGTAATCACAACCCCTTCTGACTCCTCTCAGCTTGGCAACTTGGTTGGGGGGGAATACACCTGGGTCCTCTCAATTCAGGGATGTGGTCCCATGTACTATTTTTCAAAATTATGGGCGTGTGTGTATATGTGTGTGCGTGGTATATGTATGTGTGCTCACCTGTGTGCACATTTGTGGAGGCCAGAGGACAGTGTCGGGTCTTCCCCATCACTTTTGACCTTATTTACTTTATTTTCTTATTTTTTTTTAATGTGTAGATCCCCTAGAATTGAAGTTACAGATTGTTGTTAACAGCCATGTGAGTGCTGGAAACTGAACCTGGGTCCTCTGAAAGAGCAGTGAGTGCTCTCAATCGCTGAGCCATCTCTCCAGCCCCCATCTCCACCTTATTTTTTGAGTCAGGGTGTCCCTGTAGCCATGACTGGCCTAGAACTCACTATGTAGCCCAGGCTGGTCTCAGTATCACAAAGATCTGACTGCCTCTACCTCCCCAGGGCTGGGATTAAAACTGTGCCCACCACACTCAGTTCCTCAGCCTTTTCTGGTTTTGTTTTGCTTTGTTTTGGGACATCTCAGCCAGTTGCCCAGGGTGGCCTCAAACTCCCAGCGCCTCCTGACTCAGCAGCCCATGTTCTGGGGTTACAGATACTATGATCCACCATAGCCAGCATTATATTTTATTAACTTTTGTCGTTGTTGTTCTTTTTGAGACAGGGTCTCTCTGTAGCCCCAGCTGGCCTGGAACTCACCATGTAGACCAGGCTGGCCTCAAACTCACAGAGATCTATGCCTGCCTCTGCCTCCCAAGTGTTAGGACAGGTCACACAGGCCAGGCTGGCCTCGAGCTCACAGCAATCCCCCTGCCTCTGCCACCTGAGTGCTGGGATTACTAGCCTGTGTCCCTTATGCCCTGCCCAACATCCTCAATAATTAAAGGCAAACGTCAATGAGATGTCTGTGAGAGCGCCACTAACCATACTTAGATTTTTCTCCCTTCTCTGCCAATTTCTCCCTGGGTACCTGCCCACGTAGATAGCACCGCGGCTACCTCAAAGGCACACAGTAATAGCTTAATAAATGTTTACCTGTCCACGCTCAGGGTGCATCCTGTGGATATAGGACTATTAGGGGAACCCACTTCCTCCTTTCTCATTCGCAAGGTCCAGGCCCAGCTCAGAAGAGGAAATCGGGGTGCCCTACACTTGGGAAAACTGTATCTCTCCTCCACTACCCACAGTACCCAAACCTATAAAACAATCTGGACCCGGCCATAATTGTACTGCACACTCTCCGCGCAACTGACCAGCGCGGACAGCGGGTGCTGCTGGTCCAGGTCTTGTGAGGTGCTGTCAGTCTCCTGGCTTGCATCCTGCCCGCCCGAAGCGTCTTTCCTGCCTCGTGGAGCAGCCTCCTAGAACACCCTCCTAGAACACCCTTTTGGCCAACTTCCCAGGCGCGCTCCCTCCGCACTCACCAGACCCGGGGATCACCAGCTCGAACCCCGGACCCCGCCCCACCACAGCAGGGAGCAGCAGCGGGTCTCTTGCCGACGCGCCCCTTCCCATTGGCTGCCTGAAACACGCATGCGCATTGGCTGCGGTCCGGAGCCTGCCCACCGTACGTTGCGACTGGTCATTCTGCTGAAAAGGCGCAGCTCTTTGGTGGCGAGTCTCAGCCGTGATTGGTGGGAGCAGCATCCGGACATTCTGAAGCATCTATGATTGGCTGGCCCTGGTGAGGGCGGAAAGGCAGACGAAGGGCTGGCTACAGGGCCAGGCGGAAGGCCGAGGTAAGTCTGAGGGCAAAGAGCAAAAAATTGAGCGCGGGGACTAGCAGGATCATGGAGGCTTTAGCGGCGGCTGTGCAACCTTCACCCCAGGCATGCAGCCCGCCACGTCACCCTCACCCTTACAGTTCCTTCCCACTGTCTCCACCCCCTCCCGCCCGCTTTGTTAAAAGAACTGGGGTTTTTTGGTCATTTTGAGATAGGCTCTTCTTGTAGCCCCAGCTGGCCTGGAACTCGCAATGTAGACCAGGCTGGCCTTGAACTCACAGAGATCCACCTGTTTCTGCCTCCCAAGTGCTGGAATTAAAGGCGCGGCTTTGATTTTTTGAGACAGGGACTCTGTATCCCTGATTGGCCTAGACCTATGTAGACCAGGCTGGTCTCGTACTTGCTAAGATTAAAGATGTGAGCCACCAAGCCCTCAGGGGGTTAAGAGCACTGGCTGGTCTTGCAGAACACCCTGGTTCAAATCCTAGCACCCACATGGCAGCTAACCACTATTCTAACTCCAGTACCTGGGGATCCCATGCATTTACATACATGCAAGCAATACACACATACACATAATTTAAAATATTAAAAAAAGAAAAAAACTTAAAGCCAGGCATGATGGCACACACCTGTAGTCCCAGCACTTGGGAGGCAGAGGCAGGCGGATCTCTATGAGTTCAAGGCTAACTTAACTTGGTCTACACAGTGAGTTCCAGGCCAGCTGGGGCTATAGGGAGACCCTGTCTCAAAAAGACAGAAGACAAAACAAAAAAAAAAAAAAAAAAAAAAAAAAAAAAAAAAAAAAAAAAAGAAGAAATTTACATTGTTTACAATTCTAGAATCACAGCTCTTGGGAGATCCAGGCAGGCCAATCAAGGTACTTGCCACCAAACCAAACCCCATGACCTGAGTGCAATCCTCTGAACCTGTGCAGCACACTGTCCTTCCCATGTGAGCTATGGTATTCACAGAGGAAGGGAGGGAGGGAGGGTGTGTGTGTGTCCAAGCACACAGTGTGTGAGAAACAGAATATGTAGCCACATGAGTGAATCTCTGTGTATGTGTGTGTTTCAAGCCAGCCTGGGCTACATGGAGACACCTGTTTTACACCGTGCCCGGCTTTCATAAAATAATAGCAGACATGGTGGCTCACCCCTGTCATCCCAGCACTCAGGAGGGGGAGTTGAAGGCCAGGCTTGGCTACTTGAGACTGTTTCAATATACAAAATCAGAAAGAAAAAGAAGAAAATTAAACGATAAAGCTTCAGGTCAAGATACACAACCTCAGACCTTCCTGTCAGTCTCTAGGTTTGAATCAGCAAACCCTTTGTATCTTCCTTGTGTTTGTTGACCAAGCCTTTATCAAGGCTGCGCCTGGGAAGTTTCTTTTCCTTCTGTTATCCCCCAGTGATGCTTGAGATCAAACCTTGAACCCAGAGCCCTGTGTGTACAAGGCAAGTGCATTATACCTGAGCTACATTCTCAGCTTACTGGTATTTTCCCTCTCTTCCCCTTCCCCCATCCCTTCTCCTTGTCCTTTCTTTTTAGATAGGCTCTCATGTAGACCAGGCTAGCCTCCAACTCCCTTGTAGCCAAGGATGACCTTAAACTCCTAGTCTTCCTGTCTCCATTTCTCTAGTGCTGGAATGAGAGGTGTTCACCCCCAGGCCTGGTTTATGGCATGCTGGGGATAGAGCCTGGCCATGGCCTTGTGCCTATTAGGCAAATACTCTACCTGCTGAGCCACAGGCTTTTACCTAAGTCTTTTCTCTTATTCTAGAATATACAACCCACCAGGGAGGGCAGGGTTCCTCCACTGGCCTTGCTCAGTCTGTGCTGCATGGGCAGGCATCACTGCCCCTCCCATAGCTTAGGAAGGGCTGGCTGTGTCTTCCGGTCTCAGCTTCCTCCTCTGTCGCTGCCTGGGCCACCAGGGGTTCAGAGGCAGGAAGCCAAGAGTGCCAAATTCATCAAAAGGCAGCTCTACTGGGCGGGGCCCCCAGGGGGTTTGGAAGCTGAAATAAAGAGGGCCTGGCAGGCCTGGGATCCTGTACCCAACACTCCAAAGACAGATCAGTAGGAAATGTCAGATTAGGTGACTCATCACAATAATGATGGTAATATTCACAATAAACTATAGCTCACACCTTCCCAGGGGAATGCTGAGTCAAGGGCCAATGTTTGGCATTTTCCAGGGGTCCTGAGGTTCATCCATTATTTTGTTCTTTAATGCTTGTGTGTGTGTGTGTGTGTGTGTGGTGTAGTGACTGCATGTTTTGTGTGTGTACAGGACAAGTGGAGTCCAAATTCTCCTGCCTCAGCACCCCCCACCCCAAGTCGGAATTACAAGTGTGAGCAAAGGCCATCTTACAGGACAGTCATCCCAACTGAACAGCCTGGAAAAGAGGCCACCTTTAGCTTCTAGAAGGGCCTGTGTCCAGCTGCCAGGCCCTGAGTGCTTCTAAAACTTCTGTATTCTAAACCTGGCCTCTAACCCTACAGAAGCAGCCTGGAGGGGTTTCCCAGCAGGGACTTTTCATGTTAACCTAGGGCCAAATCCAGGACAGTTCCGACAGTTTTCAGTAGTTGGGGAATTCCCCTGAACAAGTCAGGCCTGTAGGGCGGGGACTCCCCAAAGTTCCCACCAAGCCTGGGAAAAGCCAGGGTGATTAATCTGAGACAAAATCCCTTTGTTCTGAATGGGACAGGTCAAGGAAGAGATAGGCCCGTTTCCTGAGAGAGCACTGTGCTTCCTGAGTCTTTCCAAGAAGGTTCCATGCTCTGATGAATACATGTGTGAATCTATAGACTACAGAAAATCCACAGGAGCCATGACAGAGATCAGAAGCTATAGGCAGTAAAGCTGGCAGGAGACAGCCAGGTTCCAAGTCCAAGCTCCCACTGTGTGGCCCCAGCCAGTGTCTCTTAGTTTTATTGACTTATTTTTATGTATATGAGTGTTTTGCCAGCATGGATGTAAGTGCACCCATCTTGTGTGCAATGCCTGCAAAGGGGCATAGGATTCCCTGGAACTGGAGTTAAGAAGGGTTGTTAGCTGCCATGTGGGTGCCGGGAAGCAAACCTGGTCCTCTGCAAGAGCAGCTAGTACTTTTAACCACTGAGCCAGTTCTCTGGTGGTCCAGGTAGTATCTTAAATTTGCTGTCCTTTATTTCTCTGCAAAATTTAGAGTCCTAAGCCAGAGATGTATGTGGGTAGATCAAATGAGTTACTGCTTGAGCCTTGGGGAGATGGCTCAGGGGGTCAAGTGTCTGTACTGGTGGATAAGCATGAGAACCTCAGTCCAATGCCAGGAGCAGTTGTAACCACAGTGCTGGGAAGGAGGAGACAGGAGGATCCCTGGGGTTCACTGTCCAGCCAACAGAACTGACTCTGAGCTCTGGGTTCAATAAGAGACCTTGTGTCAAAAAAAAAAAAAAAAAAAAAGGTAAGGGGCCAGTGAGATGGCTTACAGGATAGAAGTACTTCCTGTCAATTGTGACCACCTGAGTTTGATCTCTGGCATCAACAGAGTAGGAGAGAACCAATTCTATAAAGCTGTCCTCTGACCTATACATGTGCACCATGGCATGTATGCAGACACAGACAAGGTAAATAAGTTTTAATTAAAAAAAAAAAAAAGATTGGAGAGATGGCTCAGCAGTTAAGAGGACTGTCTACTCTTGCAGATGACCGAGGTTCTGTTCCCAGTACCCACATGACTACTAACAACCATCTGTAACTCCAGTTCTAAGGGATCCAGTGCTCTCTTCCGGCCTCCTCGGGTACCACACACACACAGTACACTTATATATTTAAAAAGTATTAATAAAAACAACAAACAAAAACCAAGAACCAAGTGTGGCACGTGCACCTTTAATCCCACCACTTGTGAGACAGAGGCCAGCCTGGTCTACATAGCGAGTTCCAGGCCAGCTGGGAGACCCTTTCTCAAAAAACCAACTTGGGAGAGACAGACAGAAAGAAAATAAGAGAGGGAGGGAGAGAGAGAGAACAAGACAACATCAGAGCAGGAAGAACGTACGGTGAAGATGAGAGGGAAAGGGAAGGGAACGTGAGGGTTTGGACCAGCATGGAGGGTGAGGTTCACCCCTGCTTACCACTGACTCACACACGCAGAACAGACTGGTGGCTGCTGAGTGTTTTGTGGCTCACTACTGATCCCTGGTGGATATGACAGGGACATACACAACACATTGCCTTACTATTTCTGTGTCTTGGTCAACCTTCCCTACAGGTCTGTGTGCCAGGTTTTTCCCCTCAGGGCTGTAGCTATCACAGGACAGTGAAGAGGCTCTGACTGTACCCTGGTATTGTATATAGTTCATGGGATGTGACAATATCCAGGTCACTGGGCAGTCTAGCAGGTGAAGTGTGACAGAGGTGGAGTTCAGGAGGACTGTTGGGGAGGTAGCACACTGACTTCACGGACCTGGGGGGTCTCAGGTTTTTTATTTTATTTTGGGGGAACACAGTCTCACTATGTAGACCAGGCTGGCCTGGAACTCACAGATCCACCTCACTCTGCCTCTTGAGTGCTGGAGTTAAAGATGTGTGTCACCAGACCTGGCTTCCGCACATTTTTGCATTCCTTATTTTATGTGTTTGTCTCATGTAAGTGCACCCATGTATACAATGCCTGCAGAGGCCAGAAGAGGACATTGGATCCCCTGGAACTGAAGTTAAAGGCAGTTGTTAGCTGCTATATGGGTGCTGGGAACTAAACCTGGGTCCTTTGTAAGAGCAGCCAGTGCTCTTAACCTCAGAGCCATCTCTCCAACCCCTATTTTTTATTTGTTGCAGTGCTGGGGATAAACACAGGAAACACCTGCCAACATACATCAAAGCTGCTCTGCCAGCAGAGGGAAAGGCCAGTACAAAACTGTACTTTTTTTGGAGACAGGATCTCCCTATAGCCTCAGCTGGCCTGGGACTTACTATGTAGACCAGGCTGAACTTGATTTCAGAGATCCACCTGCCTCTGCCTGGCTGGAATTAAAGGAATGTGCCATCATGCTTGGCTTTTTTTTTTTTTTAAGATAGGGTCCCCTGGGGCTGTAGAGATGGCTCTGCGATTAAGAACATTGGTTGTTCTTGCAGAAGACCCAGGTTCGAATCCCAGCTAACAGTTCTCCAATTCCAAGGGACCTGACGGCCTCTTCTGTCCTCTGAGGGCATTGCACAACATGGATGCACTCACCTACATGCAGGGAATACACAAATACACATTAAAAAAAAAAAAAGAAAAAGATAGGGTCTCCTGTAGTCCAGGCTGGCCTCAAACTCATGATCCTTCTGCCTCCCTCTCCCTCCAGGTGCCAAGATGACAGGCACATGCCACCAAACCTGACTTGAGGTACACCTTTACAGCAGAACACTATCTGCTTCAGACATTTTCTCCCAGGCCAATGCCATCAAAGATACTTCATGCAAAGGGAGATGGCTGGGCTAAGGTCATGTAGTCCCAGGTAATAGAAACTTCAGCCAGGGGGTTTCCAACAACTGTGATCAAGGTGGAGGGAGAGGGGGAAGGAAGAAGAGGCAAGGAGGGGAGGAGCTGGAGGAGGAGGAAGGGGAGAAAAGAGAGGAAGAGAATGAGGGGGGAGGAGGAAGAGAGAAGAGGAAGGATAGGAGGGTAAGGAAGAGGATGGAGGGGGGAGAGGATGAGGAGAGGAAGAAGAAAGGGTAGGGAGGAGAGAGGAGGAAGAGGGGAAGCTGGGAAAGCCAGGACAAGTAACCAGGGAACACACTGAAGACCTAAGGTCTTTTTTCAAAGCAAGGAGGAGGGAAACCGCAGGGGTCAGGGTCAGAGCCAGACTGCTGCACTGAGGCTCAAGGCTGATGGACTCTCCTCAGCCCACTTAGCTGTCCCTCTCCCAGGACAGCACAGACATGGCCCTGGAGCATCGGAAACTGTTTATTGGACATCATTGCCAGAGAGGACTAGACAGAAAAGAAACAGCAGACACAGAGCGGCATGGACAGACCCACCTTGGCTGGGAACATGTATGTCCCCAACCTGGGCAACTGACCTGGTGACTGCTGCCCCTCCACAAACCTCCAGGACTTTGGCATAACGCTGATGGGGCAGGGAGCTGCAGGCAGTAGAGCCCCTGGACTGGAAGCAGAAGTGGGCAAGTGCTGGGGACTTGATGACAGGGCCAGTGGAGAGCGGCCCTGGGGGGTGGCAGAAGAGGGGGACCAGGAGCTGGAGGCTCTAGCTTTCCTCTGAAGAGAGGCCTGCACAGGCCTGCAGGCCGGTGGTGGCAGTGGCTGTGACAGGTCACATGTTGCTGTCTTTCTTGTCGCCCGCTTTGGGACCAGCTTCCAGCAATGGGTCCCCGGGGCCCACCTCCTCCCCCTCCTTGGCCTCGCTGGACTTGGAGTTGGGGACCCAGAGGCCAGAGTCGATGCAACGCTGCATATGGTACTTGGCATCCTGTGGGTAGAGGAGCAGTGGGTGACACAGGGTCACCATCCAGGTCACCTCCACTGGAGGCTCTGCTGGCCCTGCACTTCCTTCAAGCCTACCTATAATTGTCCAAAAGAACAAAGTCACCTAAAGCTGGGTCTGGGGCTCAGTGGGTAGAGTACTTGCCTAGCATACAGGAGGAACTCAGTTCAATCCCCAGGACCACATATGTGCTGCACAAAACAAAAACAAAAGACAGAATATGGTGGCACAGGCCTTTAATCGCAGCACTCCGGAAGCAGAGGCAGGTGGGTATCTGTGAGATCAAGGACAGCCTGGTCTATGTAGTGAATTTCAGGCTAGCTGGGGCTACATGGAGACCTTGTCTCAAAAAAAACATAATAAACCGATCTTTTTAAAAAACCCCACAAACAAAAAAGTCACAACCAAAGAAACCAAAAAAGTGCCTGCACGAAAATAGCCTTATATAGTCACATAATAAAAGAATAACTTTACTCGCTACGTCAATAGAAGCGTGTTAGAATCTTTGAGATAGAAGACTCAGCAATCACGTCTGATCATATTTGCCCCTACCTAGAATCCCCCAGTGAGGGGCTGGGGGCATGGCTCTTAGGTAGAGCCCCCTGCTTAGTATGTGTGAAGCATTTGAGTTAACATTCACTGCTAGCTGCTGAACATACAGTAGGTGCTCAATAACAAGTGGCACTGAGCTCGCCATATTTCTTAGAGAAGTCCAGAAGGGACAGTAACTCTTCTTTTTCTTTTTTGAGACACAGGTTGGAACCCAAAGCCTCACCAGGCAATGCTCTCCCACTGAGCTACCTCTCCAGCTGTCCTTATTTTTGACTCCCATACACAGTCCCCCTGAGCTGGCCATTCTGTCCAAGGTTAGCTTGAACTTGTAGCCCTCTTCTTAGTCTGCTGGGATGATAGGCGCACACGCGCACACACACACACACACACACACACACACACACCCAGGACTCACAGAGGGGTCCATCTTGCTGATGGCATCTTGCAGCATCTGCACATCTTTCACATCGAAGCACTTCTGCAGTTCCTGGGCGGGGTGGGGGTGTAGAGGGGCTGGGTGAGTACCAGGGCCCTGGGATGGGGGTCATGCACAACCCCACCAGGCCCTGGGGAATTCACACCTCAGGCAGGGACTCGTAGACCTCCACAGGGTCTAGGCCTCCAGGGCCCAGCCGCTTCTTGCGCTCCTCCTCCTCGTACTCCTTCATGGCCTTCTCGATGCGCAGCTTGGCACGGCCACGCACACGCTCCTTGAAGGCCTCCAGCTCATACTGGAAACCCTCCATGTACTGACGGTCTGCAGTCTGTGGAGGAAGAAGGGCGCTCATCACTGGACACAGGCTCACCCTGCTATGTGTGTAGGGGGGAGCATGGACAGATGGACCAGACAGCCCCTGGCTGCAGCTCCTGGAGGCCCTCTGTGGCTCCCTGAGTCCATTCCTCAGACCCACCATGGGGACCCCAAGGCTTAGCCTCTCTTCCCATCTCCTGCACTTGGTGCTCCCACTTGACACGGTGTACTCACTGCTGCCAGCCACCTGTCTGTCCCAACAGCACACCTAGGATACCACAGCCTCAGGTGCCTGCTGACAGGGGGCTGACAGGAGTCTCTCATGGCCCCAGTTCTGGAGTGCTCCTCTACCCTGTCCTGCCCCCAGTATTCACAATAAGGGTAATTACTCTAGCCAAAGAATTCAGCGTCTACCCTTAACCCTGCCCTTCCGCCATACCATCCTTCAGCATTTGTTTGGCTCCATGTTCAAAATCTGGCCAAGGTCTCAGTACTTGAGAGACTAAGGTAGGAGGATCACATAGTATATAATTTTTCCTTATTTAAAAATGTCAGCACTCCAGCCAAGCATGGTGGTGCATGCCTTTAGTCCCAGCACTTGGGACGGCAGAGGCAGGCAGATCTCTGTGAGTTCAAGGGCAGCCTGGTCTACAGTGAGTTTCAGGCCAGCAAGAGCTACAGGGAGACCCTGTCTTACAATAAATAGATAGGTGGATGGATAAAACATTTATTTGTGTTTGTATGTTTCTATGTGTGCTGTATTTGCCATGGAGCATGTGTGGAGGTCAGAGGGTAACTTGTAGGCATTGGTTCTTGCCAACATGTAAGGTTCCAGGAATTAAACTTGGGTCATCAGGGTTGTCAGCAACTACCTTTATCTGCTGAGCCATCTTGCCTGCCTGGATCAGGACTTCAAGGCAGCCTGGCTACACAGAAAGGCTCTGTCTCAAAAATAAATCAATAGGAGCTGGAGAGCTGGCTCAGCAGTTAAGAGCAATAGCTGCTCTTGCAGAGGATCTCAGTTTGGCTCACAGCACCCATGTGGCCACTAACTACCATCCTTACTTCTAGTTCCCGGGGAGCCAACTCAGAGGAGTGAACCTGTGCAATAGACACATACACTCACCAATAAATAGTAAACGACATCTTCAGGGATAGAGATGACTCAGTGGTTAAGAGCTGTCACTCTTGCAGAAGACCAGGGTTCAGTTCCCCGCACTCAGGAGGCCCACAACCACCTCTAACTCCAGCCCCAGGAGACCCAATGCCCTCTTCTGGCCTCCCAGCTACCTCCATACATGTGGGGCCTATAAACTCACACACACATAAATAAGCAGTAAAATAAATGTTTTTAAAAAATTAAGTAGGCTGGGTATAGTGGCACACACCTTTAATCCCAGCACTCAGGAGGCAGAGGCAGGCAGATCTCTGAGTTCGAGGCCAGCCTGGTCTACATAATAAGTTCCAGGACAGCTGGGGGCTACAGCTGGGGGCTACAGGGAGACCCTGTCTCAAAAAAGACAGAAACAAAACAAAACAAACCCCCCCCACTAAGTAGGGACAGCAAGATGGTTCAACAGGTAAAAGGAACCTGCTAACAAGTAAGGTGGATCCCTGGAACCCATGTAGAGTTGGAAGGAGCAAAGAGACCCCACAAAGTTGTCCTCTGACCTCCACACATGCACTGTAGCATGTGCGCCTGCCACCCCTGCACCATCCCAAACTGTGATAAACATCTGCCCACAGGGTCCTAAGTCAGACAGCTGGGCTGTATACCTGACACTGAGGGCTTCCTTGCTATACCTTAATCTTAGTGAAGAACTGCCGGAAGCAGGCTCGGGGGTCAACCTTGAGGCTCTTGGCTAGTTCCAGGATAAACTGCATAACCATGGTCTGGTGGGCCACTTGCTCCATCAGCGCACATTTCTGCCAGGGATGAAGAGAGGGTATAAGGGTAGGGTCTTTTCTTAAAAAATTTTTATGTGTTTAAGTGTTTTGCCTGCATGTAAAGACACCATGTGCATGTACTGTGTGCACAGGCCAGAAGCCAGCATTGGATTCCCTGGTGGTTGTTAGCCACCATGTGGGTTCTGGGAAAAAGCAGCCAGTGCGTTTAAATGCTGAGTCAGCTCTCCAGCCCCTGGGTGGGTCTCTGGAGCTGGGGCCATGCTCTGTTTACCTCCTCCACTTCCAGGTCGATGCACCAGATGACCAGGTAGTTGGCTGTCTCTTCACACACAAGATGGACATTGTCAGAAAGGTACTTCTGGCTGTCGTCCCAGCGGTGAAGCATGCCTGTGGTGAGGGGTATTGAGAAGGTTCTGAAAAGGTCCTGGAGGCCCTTCCCTGGCCTTGCCTCACATGTGGGAGGCCCTGGGTGGGTACCTACCGAAATGTTTGATCTGTTTTTCATACTTGTCCACAAAGGTCTTGTGTTTCTGCTCCCTCATCTCCTCTGAGTCCTCCTCCGCCTTGTCAGGCTTGGTATTGACCATGCTCTGTGACAGGGCAAGAGGGCAAGTGGGCTTGGGCAGGGGTGGGAAGCGCCCTGGGCGAGGGGGCCGTGGCCGCCGTGCCCATCCTGTCCACATTGGAGGTGGTGGCTTCGCCAAATGCATCAAGGTGGCTGAGGCGTAGCCGGGGGCCTTCGGGCAGATCAGAAGGGAGGGATGGGGTGCTTGATTGGCCTGTACCCCCAAATTGTGACCCCCCCACCTGGCCCCTACTGTGGCCCTTGCCTTGTTCCCCATTGTCAGATTTTTGTTTTTGTTTGGGATTTTTGAGACAGGGTCTGCCTGTAGCCCCATCTGGCCTCAATCTCAGAGATGCACCTGGCTCTGCCTTCCCGAGTGCTTGGATTTAACGGAATGTGCCATCACACCTGACCTAGAATTTTTTCTTAATTTAAGGAGGAATTGGGGATGGAAGCCAGGACCCTCACATGCTGGTCTATCCGTCAACCACAGAGCCCCGAGTCTGACTGGATTTGCAGAGCTCCACGCGGTTCCTGTCTGCCCAGCCCTCAGGCAACTGCCCACCTTGCTGAAGCCATCTTTGCTGAGAGTGTCCACATTCCAAGGCATGCTTTTCTCCTTCTTGCGCATCTCCTCCAGCTTCTGCTCCCAGCTGCGCTCCTCCTTGCGTAGCTGCTGAGCCTCGGCCCGCAGCCGCTCCAGCTCAGCCTGGCCTCCTCCCTCTGCCACCTCCAGCTCCTTCAGCTTACGCTGGCACTCAGCCACCTTGCGTTTGCACTCCCGGCAGCCGCGGTCCAGCTCCTCCTTCTCCTTGTGGAACTGCTCCATGCGCTCCACTCGGGCCTGTGCACAGGGACAGACAGCCGCTGGTCACTTTGTCACTGGTTGTTCACTTTTGTAGGATAGCCTACTCCCTTGATCCTGGCCCAATTCTAGCCCACATGCCCAATGTCTGCACTGGACATGGCCCTGGGACAGATGTGTGTCCAACTTCCACCCTCACTCCCATGGAAGACTGGACACATCTTCTGCCCCAGTTGTGGCCCACACAGATATATGCTACCTGACTTCTGCCACATTTTTAAGTTTTTTTTTTTTTTGGTCTGTTTGAGACAGGGTCTCCCTGTAGCCCCAGCTGTCCTTGAACTCACAGAGATCTGCCTGCCTCTGCCTCCCGAGTGCTGGGATTAAAGGTGTGCGCCACCATGCCCGGCGCTATTTTTAAGGTTTTTAGAGACAGGACTGTATGTACCCAGGTTAACCTCAAACTCTCTACAGCTGAGGATGGCCCTGAACTTCTGGTCCTCTAGCCCAGTGCTGGGAAAGAAACCCTGGGATTGGTGCATGGTAGGTTACCTCTACCAACCAAGCTGTAACCACATCCCCTGCCTCACTTTTCTGGAATCCACTTCCTCCTTAAACCTCAGGGCCTTCGCACCAGCTGCCCTCTTGCCCCATTTTGCCTTCCTCCTCCTCACTGGCCACTTGCTACCACCCTGTGGCTGTCATGTATAGGGCACTGTCACCCTTCAAGGACATTAGCTCTGTGCAGTGCAGATTAGCTTACTATACTCCAAAGCCAGCTGAAGCTGGTGTGAGATAGGGGAGCAGGGAAACTGGTCATGTGAGGAGAGCTGGTGTGCACCTCAGTGGTAGAGGCTGTGCTCTGCATTTAAAAGGTTTTTTAAGGCTGGGCGTGGTGGTGCACACCTTTAATCCCAGCACTTGGGAGGCAGAGGCAGGCGGATCTCTGTGAGTTCAAGGCCAGCCTGGTCTACATAGTTGAGTTCCAAAAAAAGGTTTTTCAGCCTGGCATGGTGGCACAGACTGCTGTTGATCCCAGCACTTGGGAAGAAGCTCATTCTCTGTGAGATTGAGGCCAACCTGATTAATATAGGGTGTCAATATATAGTCCCTTCCAGCCTAGAAATCTATATGTAGACCTGGCTGGCCGTGATCTCAAGAGATCCACCTGCCTCTGCCTCAAGGGTGCTGTGACTACAGGTGTGCATCACCATGCCCATCTTATTTATACACAGCTTTTTACTTTGAGATAGGGTCTCTTGAAGCTGCCCAGAATAGATTTAAACTCACTTTGTGGTCCAGGCAGACCTTGATCTTGTGAATTTTCTGCCTCAGCCTCACAAGTAGAAGGGATGATGGGCCCACACCAGGCCTGACACGAAGTCATCTGAATAGTGCTGAACAACTCACATCACTCATTATGTCACTCATTCATCCATACGGAGGTAGGACCACACTCTGCAGCCCAGGCTGGCCTTGAGATCCTGGACTCAGGTGATCCTCCTGCCGGGATTCCAGATGTGCATAATAGCATCTGACTCTGGTGCAATGTATTCAACACAGCACAGAGCCAGCACAGAACATGGAAATCAAAGTCAGACACTTAATGACCCCCTCTGGCCTCTGTATGTACCCTCATGCATGTATGCATAACCTCCCCTGTTCACACACACACACACACACACACACGAACGACAGCCCTGGCCTCTTTCACCTCTTTCTCAATGTCGTCGTCCCCCCCCCCCCGAGTCTCCCCTATGTTCTCAAGAGCTCTCAGGTCAGCACCCTGCTGGCCCTGGCCACTAGCTTCTGGAGACGGCCACCACTCTCCCTGGTGTCCTCTGGGTGTCTGCCAGGGAGGCCACAGCTAAAAAAGGGCTCAAGGCGCCAGTGGTGGCCGCTGCCTGGCCAGCCTGGCACAAATGTTCACTGGGTATGGCTGTGGCAGGCTGGCCTGGAAAAGCAATGACTCAAGGTGGAGGTGTCCCTGACCCCCACCTCACAGACAGGGAAACTGAGGCTCACCAATCCTGCCATCATACACCTCTCAGAAGGAGCCAGAAGAAACTCCAAACAGCTCCTGTCTCTGGCCACAGAGCAGGTGAGGGAGGACTAGAACTCATCTGCCCACTTCTTAAACCTTCTGATTGCTTTTTCCTTTGGTGATGGTGGGACCAGGGATGAACTAGGGATGGAACAAGTGCTTCATGCCTGCAGGGTTAAGTGTTCTACCACTAATCTAGCTGTGCACATGGCCATCTTATTTCATGTCCATAAATATATCTGACACAGGGTCTCCGTGTAGTTCCAGCTGGTGGCCTCAAACTCACAAAGATCTACCTGCCTCTGCCTCCCAAGTGCTGGGATTAAAGGCATGCACCACCACATCTGGCCAAAGTTAGATTCTGAGGACAAGTGGATAGGCCTCTCTCAGCTCAGAGGTTCCAAATCTTGATCCATCATAGATGGATGCTGGGAGGGGCGGGTCGGGGTGCAAACCCAAACTTGTTGGCGGCTCCGCTCCTTCATCTCTACTATAGCCAAAACAGCAGGGCAGAAAACAGTTTCTGTGCCAGGAGAGGGGGGCCTCCCACCCACCCAGCAGGCTCCAACTGTTGCCCACACAGTAGTAAAATAAACCTTTTTACGTGACAGAAATAGGTGTTCCTGAGAATAGTACTGGGAGCTGTGCAGGGGTCTCAGATGCCTCACAATACAATGCTCTGCACAGCAAGGAATGGAAGTAACAGGATGTGCTGCCTACATTCCAGTGACCTGCCTGGTAGGTCCTCTACGTAGGAGACTGGGATGAATAAGTGTGGAGGTGGACTGAGGGGTTGATGCTGGGAAGATGGGCAGATACCTTCTAGGCATTTCTGAATAAATGAGGGGGAGATGCCCTAAGGAGGGTGGTGTGAGAAATTCCAAACTGAAAAGTACGGTTGGGTTTCTAACCTCAATTTGACTGCCTAATATGCACAGAGGCTGACAAGAGGGCTAAGTGGATAAAGGTACTTGCTGCCAAGCCTCATAACCTGAGTTTGAGTCCCAGGACCCACATGGTAGAAGGAGAGAACAGACTCCCCCAAGTTGTCCTTTGATCTTCACATGAGTGCCGTGGCTCATGTGTATGGGCACACTCATGCACATAAATAAAATGTGAAGATGCACACCTTTAGTCCCAGCACTTGGGAGGCAGAGGCAGGTGGATCTTCATGAGATCAAGGCCAGCCTAGTCTATATAGCAAATTTCAGGCCATCTGGGGCTATAGGGAAACCCTGTCTTGAAAAATAAATAAATAAATAAATAAATAAATGAAAATTAGTAAAAAAATATAGTGACTTTGCTTGCTTTTTTAAAAAACACTTTTGGTTTTGTTTTTATAGGGTCTCATGAAGTCCAGATTGGCCAAACTTCATATGTGCCTGAGGAGGGCCTCAAACTTCTGGTCCTCATGCCTCCACCTCCCAACCTGGGATTACATGTGTAGACCACTATGTCTTGCAAGTGTGGCGATTCTGGAATAAGTCCCAGAGGGTCTCTGGGTTAAGCAGGGGTAACCCGAACCCGAAAGACTAGATGAGGTTAGTGATCGGTGGGTAAGGCAGGGTGAGGTTTGGGGTTCTCTTCTCAGGTTTAGTGAATTTTCAAGGATGGCCAAAGTTTATGCAGGAGTCAGTGGTATGGGTGGTGATGTGGGTCTAAAATCCCAGGGGGAACAGAGGTCCTGGCCTGGCCAGGAAGTAAAGTGGGATGGATTTCCTGGAGTCATGGGAAATGGGGTCCACAGGAGATGAAATGAAGATAAGCTGCTGGAATTGGAGGCTGCAGATGCTGTCAACCCTAGGGGCAAGGGAGCCTCCAAAACTCAAGTCCTAGGTGGGAATGAGATGCCCTGGTCCAGCACCGGTCTATACTCAAGGGAAAGGGGTCTCAGGATGGGGAATCCTGGTTTGGAACCAGGAGCAAAAAGCTAAGGGTAGGCCCAGCACTCAGGAGGCAGAGGCAGGCGGACCCCTGTGAGTTCGAGGCCAGCCTGGTCTACACCAGGCTAGCCAGGGCTACATAGAGAGACCTTGTCTCAAAAAAAACAAATACAAAACCTGAGGGTAGCCTCAGTGTAGAAGGGGGCCACAATTCTGGCCTTCATGGGAACAGTGTTGAAGACCCTGGGAAGTAGATTCCAACATTCAATCCAAAGTATTGAATAAGGATCCAGAATCTACAGTGAGGAGAGGCTGACAGATATGTCTAACTGCAAGTGGGAGCATGACTAGGATAAGGGATCATTAAAGCTGGGATCTGGACTCTGAGTGGGAACAAAAGGTCTCACACAGGATGATGGGACCCCAAGGGTCAGCTTGGGGAGTTTAGACCCTGGAGAAATTCACTTTCTATCCCAGCACCTGGGAGGCAGACCTAGGTAAGACCTAGGCCAGCTTGGTCTACATAGAGAGCTCCAAGTTAAATCAGGCTACATAGTGAGACCGTGTCTCAAAACAAAAAAACAAACAAAAAAGATTCAAAAAGAGGGACCAGTGGCTGGGTGTGGTGGCACAAGCCTTTAATTCCAGCCCTTGGGAGGCAGGAGGATCTCTGTGAGTGCCAGGCCAGCCTGGTCTACATAGGGAGTTCCAGGCCAGCTGGGGCTAGAGGGAGACCGTGTCTCAAAAAGACCAAAAAAAAAAAGACAAAAACAACAACAACAAAAAATCAGCATAGTGGCTCTGCGGGTAAAGGCGCTTGTAGCCAAGCCTGATGACCTGAGCTCAATCCTTGGGTCCCCCATAGAGGAGGGCAGAACCGACTCTCAAAAGTTCTACTCCACAAGCACACTGTGCCACACGTGCACTACATGCGCGCACACACACACTCACAATAAATAAATGTAAAAATAAAAAGAGTCCAAAAGCAAGAGAGCACCCTAGACATGAAGACAGGCACTTTGGGTCCCTGAAAGATCCTGGGGTCCTAGGATGGAATTGCAAAGTCCAGCCAGGTGTGGCGGTGCATACCGGCACTCCGAACGACGCAGACGGATCTCAGTGAGTTCGAGCCCAGTTTGGTCTACATAATGTGCCAGATTCAGGCCAGCCTGGTCTACATAGTTTCAGGCCAGCTTAAGACCTTGTCTAAAAAAAAAAAAAAAAAAAATTCCAGAAGCTGGGTGAGGAGTTCCCCTGACGTCAGACGTCAATAACTAAGTCTCCCCCGAACGCCCCCCCTCCCCGCCCCCAGAGAGTCAGGGTCAGAACTCTAGAGCGGGTGGTCCCGGGAGTGGGGGGAAGGGGATGCGCGCGCACCGCCCCACCTGGTGCCGCCAGCGGAAGAGGCTGGCCGTGTCGATATTGGGGTGCGTCTCGTCCTCATCGTCCGACACCTCGATGTGATCCCACACGCTGTAGTCTACCATCTTGGCCTCGGAGGTCCAGGCCCGCTCCCTACACTGGCGGGCGCTCAGCAAGAACCCGCAAGTGCTGGAGGAGTCCTGCCGCGGAGCCCCGCCCCTTCCGCTTCCGTCCTGACCGCCGCGCACGCAGAGCCCCGCCCCCCAGCGCTACCGCGCGAGGCGTCACGTCCTTAGCAACAGGAGGCGGCGGCTAGCTACCAGAGAACTCGAGGGTGGGGGTTGGGGTTGTTCGGCTTTAAAGACTCAGGCAAACGGGTGAGGAGGTCAGGGAGTTCCGGCCGAAGAATCCCCGCGTAGCTGCGCTGAAGGCAAAAAATGGTGGGCCAGCGAGATGGCCGCCAAGCCAAACGAGCTGAGTTCTATCCCCAGGATCCATTGGAAGGCAAGCACTGACTTCATGTGTTGGAGAGCTGGCTCAGCGGGTTCCATTCCCAGCACCCACATGGCAGCTAACAAGCGTCCGTAATTCCAGGTCCAGGGGTTCCAGTGCCCTCTTCTGACCTTCAGGGGGATTGAACGACATGGGTGCACCTACCTATATGCAAGCAATACACTCAAGTACATAAAATAAAAATAATAAGCCGGGTGTGGTGGCGCTCACCTTTATTTCCAGCACTTGGGAGGCGGTAATAATAAAGTATTTTTTTAAAAAAAGAACTGACTTCAGCCGGGCGTGGTGACGCACGCCTTTAATCCCAGCACTTGGGAGGCAGAGGCAGGCGGATCTTTGTGAGTTCAAGGCCAGTCTGGTCTACAGTGAGTTCCAGGACAGCTGGGGCTACAGGGAGACCCTGTCTCAAAAAGACAAAAAAAATAAAAAGAACTGACTTCAACAAGTTGTACTTGGATTTGTGTCGTGGCACATTCGTGCATTCACACACAGACATATACACATGCACACAAAAGAAAGTAAATAAAATATAATTAAAACAGGGCAGGCTGGAGACTCAGCAATTAAAGAGCACTAGCTGCTCTTGTAGAGGACCTGGGTTCAGTTCCCAGCACTGTCTTGGCAGCTAAGAACCATTTGTAATTCCGATTCCAGGGGATCTGACAACCTCTTTTGGCCTCCGTGGGCATTGCACTTACATGCAGGCAAGACACTCATACATATTATAAAATAATAAAAATTTAAAATATATATAGGGCTGGAGAGCTGGCTCGATAGTTAAGAAAAAGATAGTTAAAAAAAAGAACTGACTTCAGCCGGGCGTGGGGACGCACGCCTTTAATCTCAGCACTTGGGAGGCAGAGGCAGGTGGATCTTTGTGAGTTCAAGGCCAGCCTGGTCTACATAGTGAGTTCCAGGACAGCTGGGGCTACAAGGAGACCCTATCTAAAAAAAATAATAATAATACTAAAAAAAAGAACAAATAATAATAGTAATAATAGTGACTGGGCATGGTGGTACACCGCTTTAATCTGTGAATTTGAAACCAATGTGGTCTACATAATGAGTTCCAGGCCAACTGGGGCTGCAGGGAGACCCTGTCTCAAAAAAAGACAAAAATAAATAAATAAATAAATAAACGAAAAAGGTAGTCATTCCCAACCTCCCATCCTTTTTTGGAAAAAAAAATTTATTTCCGTTCATTTATTTTTTGTGTGCACACTGCACATGTACAGATGAAGACACCTTGCACCACGTGGGTCCCAGGGATGAAACTCAGGTCCTCAGGCTTGGGGACAAGCAGCACCTTTATGCACTAAGCCAAGCCATCTTGTTTGCCCCAGAACTTTAAAAGTTGCAAAATGTAACTTTTTTGGTTTTTGTTTTTACTTTTTTGTTATTGTTTGTCTTTTTGAGACAAGGTCTCCCTGCAGTCCCAGACGACCTGGAACTATAGAGGCTGGCCTCGATCTCACAGAGATCCGCCTGCCTCTGCCTCCCCAGTGCTGGGATTAAAGGCGTGGACTACCACGCCTGGCTAAAAAGGTATATTTATTTATTGTGTGTGTGTGTGTGGATGCCAGGGTGCCTGTGCGGAGGTCAGACTTTATGTGGGTCCGGAGATCGAACTCATTTGTTCATACTTGGCTGCAAGCACCTTTACCCTCTGAGTCATCCTCTACCAGTCCTTTTCCTCTCCCAGGACCCATAGTGAGCATCTCAGATAGCTTCAGAAAAAGCACTGACCAGAGGTCAAAGTTGCAGTGACATCAGCGGGGACCTAGGGTAAGGGGCGGGGCTAAGACCTGAAGACACGCCCCCTGATTGAACTTTGTGCTGGGGTTGAGGGTTACAGGGCTCTGCTCTCAGGGATCTGAGATGGATGGTTTTTGACACCGTGCCAGGGGAAACCTCAGCCTCCGACTCCGCACTCATCGCCCACCACGCCTAAGCAAGAACTTGTGGCAGGTGCAGCGCTCTGTATGCGCCCAGAACCAGCCCCAAGTAGAGTGTTCCAGGCACCAGTGTCCTAGCACGGCCTATGGGTGTCGCTAACGTCTAGCCAGTCACCAGTGCTCCTTGTTCTGTACCCTGCCCGGGTAGTAGAGTTCCGGAGATGTGGGGGGGTGGGGGGTGGGCTGCTCCCAGCCTGTTCCTGTTTTGCTGCACCCTTAACTCAGCTGGGACTTGAAGGATTCCTTTTTTTCTTTTTTCTTTTTTCCCCTGAACTTGATGGACCTGGGTCCCACTTTCTATTCATCCCACCCCATGCTTTGATACAGGGATTTAAAAAACCGCTTCGCAGCCTGGGGCCAGGATTATCTCAGATTAAGGCGTGCTCCTTTGACTAGGGTCAAAGGGAAGGAGAAGCGTTCTAGACAGTTGTAATTAGGTGTATGTGGGATCTTCTCAGCCTTACCCGACTCTGCTACTGAGGGAGAGGGTGTGTAGCTTTGGGGGAGTGGGGATTCCCCAGCCAAGGAAGGAGGAGG